GCGCGTCGCGGCGACGCGCCTCTAGCACGCTGGTCCGTGCGCGCGGGCGGCGAACGACTTTGGGCGCTCTCGCGATCGGCACACCTTACCACTCTGGCCTTTTGGCTTAGATCAAGTGTAGTATCTGTTCTTAATAGTTTAACCACTATTATGGAGGCACCGCCTCCATTATTGGTTATCTAATTTTTGCCGCCCTTGTTCCCTGGGCTCTGCTTGCAACCCGGGGACGCGATGACCTTGCCGCTGCACTACAGGCTTGCGTCGTCGGGGGATTCCTTTCCTCCCCATCTCCTCTCTTTTTGCTGCGCTTTGTGCTCGCGGAGTTCCGCGGGCATGGGAGCAGCAAATGGATTGAGTGGGGATACCCATTTCTGGATGCAGAACACTCATGTAGTCGTTGAATTGGAATTGTCGTGTAACACCATGTTGTACTGCCTTACTATAATGTTCGCTCTCAATGATAAGCCAATGTCACTGCTTGCGAAGTACCTCCATCGAGTGATGAACGTTTCAGCAATGGTCTATATACCTTCTATCCTGAGTCGGAGACTCGGCAAATCCCGCTGCATGAGTTGATCGGGGTTTGGGGACAGTTCAACATGGGCGCTTGTGCTGTCTACATCAGCTGCCTGCAGCAGACGTACATGCTTCCTTTCCTTTCAACCACCATCACCCCAGGTCTCCTGCACGTGTATTGTGCAAGGATTCACTCTCAAATGGGTGAAGGAAGCCTATGTTGCCCCTCCGTCGGGCCGTTCACTCAGCATCCCACCGTGCGTGATAAGACGCGATCATATACCTCCATGAACTCGCATATGGCGTCGCCCGGCGGTTCCTTGCTCCTGACGACCATCTTCCTCGCTGCCCGCCCGCGCAATGGCTAAGAACTCCCTGGTGCCGACTGTAAAGCTCAACGACGGGACTAAGGTGCGTGTGGTAGTGGGAGTCGTGGCCCAAGGTGCTGACACAGCCGTCCAGATTCCCAGTATCGCGTTCGGGACGGGTAGCAAACTCAAGTTCACAGTACGTGGCTTTGTTATATACTCTGAGTCCTGATATTGACACCCTCCACGTAGGACGTCACTCAATACGTCCAGAACGCCCTCGAAGCCGGCTTCTCGCACATTGATACGGCGGCTTGTGCGCTCTATGTTTCGTTCCGAAGCTGCTCCGCAAATACTGACTAATACTCTGTGCAGTCTATGATACCGAGCAGTATGTAGCAACGGCGTTGCGCGAGTCTGGTCTCTCTCGTAACGACATCTACATCACCACAAAGTTCGACGGGGGCGACATCGCGACTGAGGCGCGCAAGAGTATTGAGAAGGTATGCACATATCGCTGCTCCACATAGAGCAAACTAGCTAAAGACAGCTATTCTAGCTTGGTGTGAAGTATGTCGACTTGTACCTTATCCATGGCCCAACCTTTGCGCCGGATGTCGGTAAGGCATGGCGCGAGTTCGAGGCCATTCACAAAGAGGGCATTGTCAAGTGCGTTCACCCATGTACCTGTTGATTCAGTGCCTGACGTCGCAGTACAGGAGTATTGGTGTATCCAATTTCCGTCTTGAACACTTGCAGCAGGCTATCGATGCCGCGACGGTACTACCCACGGTGAACCAGATCAACTTCAGCCCGTACAACTACGCGTCTTGGAAGGACGTGCTTGAACTGGCCGCGAAGCACAACATCGTCATCGAAGCGTACAGCAGTCTCTCGCCTATCACCGCTTTCCCCGGCGGACCCCTTGATCCGGTATTGGACCGTATTGCTGCTCGCATCGGCGGTACGCCCGCACAGGTGATCTTCAAGTGGGTATTGTCGAAGGGGGCGGTTGTCGTCACAACGAGCACGAAGCGCGAGCGTCTAGACGAATACCTCGCCACACCCTCTCTACGTGAGTCCAGCATGCGTCACCGCCACGCTCATTGTACTCACCCGCTCTCCAGCTGATCTTACAGTGGAGGAGATCGCCGAGATTGAGGCGGCAGGCGCCAAGGGACCTCCGTCGCGCTTCAACCCGCTCGTCCAAATCCGCCGTGTCATGCGTCGTGGTGCTCACGCGCTCACTGCCGCTGCTATCATCTTCCTGAATGTCTGCATGGCATATATGATCTTCCGTTGGCTGCAAGCCGTGTTCCACTTGTACTAGATATGCATATCACGGATCGCGCTTGTTGCTCGGCTGTAGCGCTGCTTGTTAGACATTCAACTGTGTTTCCACCCCTGTCCCGTTCGATTCAGTTTCAATAGGACCATGACAAGAAATGAACATACGTTGATCAGGCCCGTCATAGAAGTCGAAGAAGGTACCCGCATGTACAGCCATACGGCCTCCACTCCCGTAGTATACTTAATCGATCTTCAAGTGCCTCGTGTACATCATGCTCCCCGCCGTACGCGCGTGACGCACAAATATGCACTTTGCTTCTTACGACCACGACGACATCTTAAGCCTGAGAGCTCGCTCTTCATGCACTCTGGCCGCGATCCTGGCCCATCGACAGCTCCGAGGGTTCAAACGTCGAGTGGGCTAGATGCAAATCCGCAGGAGACCTTCAGTACCCTCTGGTCAGAGGCTTTGCGCAAGTTTCAGCAGAGCTCGAGTGTCGACCCGAACCGATGGGACGCATGGCTGCTCCGGATGTCTAGCTGTCACAATGCAGATGGCGTCCTGAGAGTACTCGACGAGACTATGCAGAGGCTGGAACACTTTCGACTGGGTAACCCAAGTTGGAGAGACGTGCGGAATAAGTACCTTAAGCCGGCTGTGCAGGTGCTCTTACTCTTCAATGACGCGTTGACCGAGACGGCATCATGCTTTGTACGTGAAATCTCTTGGCTATGTGGTGTCCCTCTCTGAAAGCGACCATAGCCTGCTGTGCCCGGAGGAAAGGCGATCTTCGTAGCGATCGGTGTGCTATTGGAAGTACGTCGACTGATGCGGTGAACGAAGATGGTGCTGATCAACATTCTTCTATAGGCCACAAATGGGGTCAGCGAACGCTGCGAAGCGCTTATGGGACTATTCGAAGAGCTGAACTTCTACATGGAGAGGCTGCGCATTCGACTCGCGATGCCTTCAGGTCTAGGTCCAGCCTCTAAGACTATGTCCATCACCATCCTCGCCCAGATGCTTGAAGTAGTGTCCATCGCGACGAAACTCCTCGCGCCGTCTGCATGGCGTACACGACTCAGTACGCACTTCTGGCCATCCTGCTCTTACTGTCTTTGAACAGCGCTACGCAGCTCTGTATCGACATGCGCTCACCCGGGACAAGACGATGCAAGACGCTCTTGATCGACTTCGCACGCTCACGGATTTAGAGGCGCGAGCTATAGCTGCGGAAACTCAGGTCACAGTCGTGGAGACCCAAGTCGTCGTTTCAGAGACTAGGATCACCGCCATGGAGACCCGCGATGCTGTCTCCGAGATGCAGACTGTGCTCAAGAGGATAGAGACTGAGATCGCTTTGATGTACCAAGGTCACAAGCCGTGACTTCTTGAACAGCCCGTATACTCACCACCTTCGTTTCAACAGAGCTTTTGCGTACGCCGCGTTCCGAGCTTCCGCCCTATACAAGCACTGATGCCTCCAGTACGCGCCTTTGTCGTCTCATGGTGTTGAACATACCGCTTATGGAAGATACTAGATCCTGGGATTCTGGAGAAGCTTGACAGAGTTGGATCTGCGGATATAGACGCCCAGAACTCGAACGGATGTCTAGAGGGCACGCGGGTTGGCGTTCTGAACGATCTGCAGGACTGGAGTCGCGATGCGCACGCGCCGAGGATCTTTTGGCTTGACGGAATGGCCGGAACTGGCAAGTCTGCCATTGCGCGATCTTTCTGCTTCAACCTCCGTCGGGACGGTCTACTAGGCGGAAGCTTCTTCTGTTCACACAGAGGTGCAACGGATCAGTCGGACGCTCGGCGCATCATACCTACTCTTGCGATCTCTTTGGCACTATACGATTGGCACTTCAATATGTCGCTGCTGTCGGAGCTTGATAAACATCCTTACTTGAACGACTGGAACCCCAAGAGTCAGGTGAAGCACTTGCTCAGTGCCCCTTTGGCTGCCCTGGGGACCGAGAACTCGCGTCCTCCGATTTTGGTGATAGACGCTCTCGATGAATGCTCGGAGAAACTCGCCACCTACGATGTACTTGTGGCGCTCGTCGATGCCATTCCTGCTCTCCCGGTCAAGCTCTTCCTGACCTCCCGACCGGAACCTCACGTACGGGAGAACCTCGAGCGCCTTCAGCATCTAGACCCTCCGCTTGGGCGAGTTCTTAGGCTTCATGACATAGATCGTCACATCGTGGAGGCCGATATACGCTTGTATTTGAATCATGGTCTACAGAATATGCGCAGGAAGTTCGCGCCTTCATTCGTTGACTGGCCCAGCGAATCGGATGTCTCTGCATTGACGCGTTTAGCGGATGGCTTGTTTATATATGCGTTCACAGCATTGATGTATGTGCACAAGAACCCAGTTGGTCGGCTGGCCAAGCTCACGGGCGCTGCTATCACAGCAGGTCCTGCTATGACGAAAGCATTGGATGACATCTACGAGGTCGTCCTGTCAGAAGCCATGGATCCTCGCGAATACGAAGCGGACGAGATTGAACATACGCGCCTCATGATAGCCCACATTGTCAACCTCCGTGCACCACTGATGGTGGCTTCACTTGCACAACTACTTGGGATACCCGCGCCATCCCTCAGAGTGTCCTTGGACCGGCTTCACGCCGTCATCTACGTTCCCACTCACGATGACAGAGGGGCGCTTTCCACCTTTCATGCTTCTTTTGGCGATTTTCTCTCGTCGAGGAGCCGGGTTCCAGACATGAACCCGTATATCTCGGAGAGTCACGTCGAACTGGCAGCGGCGTGTATACGGGCCTTGAGCTCCGATAAGCTCTATTTCAACATCTCACAGGCGTCCACCTCGCACTTGCCCAACGATAAGCAGAAACTCGCTCGGGTAGAGAACCCGCTGCGTTATGCATGCTTGTACTGTGCATACCATATCGCATCTGCCACTTCGGACGTCATCATATCAGCCCTCGAGAAGGTCATCGTCGGACCAAAGTTCCTCTTTTGGCTGGAGGCGCTCAGTGCTATGGGTGCTACAGCCGAGGACATCATTGAGATGCTCGATCTTGTATTGACCAAATGTACTTCCTACTTGTTTGCATCACGCCGTTTCACCGAATTCATGCTCTCTGCGAAGGACTTCGTGCGAACGTTTGGGCCCGCCATCACGCGAAGCGCGCCACACGTTTACCTCTCCGCGCTGGCGCTCAGTCGCAAAGAATCACTTGTGCGCCAAGTATGCCTGCCTTCGTTTACCAAGCTCGCCCAGACGATGCCACAAGATGCACGATACTCTTCCGACTCCTTCGGACCTACGTGCGCTGTCTTCTCGCCAGACGGAAGGCACTTCGCAGTTGGCTTTGATGATGACAAGATTCGTATCTGGGATACCGACTCTGGCGTGGTGGTTTCACCTCCCTTGGAGGGCCATGATGATAGTATCGCCTGTATCGCCTTTTCCCCAGTCGAGACTGGTCGGATTGTGTCCGGATCTGAAGACCAAGAGCTGCGAGCGTGGGACACCGAGGGGTCCACGAACGAGACCCCTCCTCTTACAGGTCACACAGACGTGGTCACCCACGTAGCCTTTTCATTCGATGGTCACACCATCGCATCGAGTTCAGCCGATGGTATCATCTTGCTGTGGAACGCAGAGGACGGGACACGATCGTGCACCGCGCTCGTTGGCCATACCGACATTGTGACCCACGTGGCGTTCTCGCCTGACGGCAAGTTGCTTGCGTCGGGCTCCCGAGATCATAGTGTATTCCTCTGGGATGCCCAGACAGGATTGCCTGTACGACAGGCTATGAAGGGACATTCACAATGGGTCATGTCCGTCGCCTTCACTCCCAACGGACGTCGTATCCTTTCGGGTGCACGCGATGGCACAGTGTGCGCTTGGAGTGCGGAGACGAGCGCGCTGTTAGCTGTGTACACTCCTCTAAAGTGCCACAGCCACTGGATTCGCTCCACCACCGTCGTCTTGAACAGTCCTGAAATGGAGATAACACAATTCGATGTGTGCGCAGAGTGTACCTCTTGGGATGAGGACGAAGACAATCCATCGACACTGACGACGAAGCACGAGTTGCCGGAGGAGGATTACTGGGTCCGTGCCCTTGCCTTCTGCGCGGATGGCCGTAGAGTAGCAATTGGCGCCAACGATTGGGCCGTGCGCGTCTGGGATCTAGAGACGAATGCCCTAGTATGCTCGCCTTCGTATGGTCACAGCGCGATGATCCGCTCTGTAAACTTCTCTCCCGACGGACACCGCGTTATATCCTGTGCGGACGACGGCACCATTCGTATCTGGTGCACGGATTCGGTGATATCTGATAGCCGCATGTACGATTTCGGTGGCGACGCGTCCCTTTCTATTCTGCAGTATCCGAACGAAGTCGCGGAATCGGCCGCTCCCTCGTTGACCAGCAAGCGCCCGCAATTCCATTTGGCCGCATCGGACGACGGATGGGTCGTGGACACGTCCTGCAATCCACCTCGTCTATTGTTATGGCTTCCCGAAGAGCTTCGCTCTCGTGTATACCTTCCTTCTGCGCATATGATCATGGCGCCTCATACGACGCATCACCTCGACCTCAGCAACTTCGCACACGGCGGTCGCTGGATCGAGTGCTCTCCGGATATTTCCACATATACCTCATGATATTCAACATGTATCCATATACCATACTACCCTCATCATCACTGTCAATGTATTAGTTACGCATCTAAATCCAGCAATCAATTCCTTACTCAGAATACGAGTATCCATCAACAAATCCTAAGCCCATGGACGACCAAAGCAAGACGCGCATCGGGCGGCCGACCCAACGCCGAGTGGCGACTTGTTGTGCCATATGTCGTGATCAACTGACCGAGAACCATCATCTGACATGCTGCACTCGGCTCGGCCTCAACCTTGTACCAGCCAGTACATCGCGCATCCCAGAGTCCACCTGGGGCCTGCGACTCAAGTCCTTGACAAGTGACCACCATGAGCTTGCGACCTCGCCTGCGTGTACGCGCCCCGCTGAGCGCTCTCCGACCCTCGTTCGGCGCGCCACGCGCACGGTTAGCACGATACAGCTCCTCAACGTCCGGATCTGATTCTTCTGCTTCGTCTGGGAGTCTGGTGCCATATCTGCTGATAGGGTCTATCGGGGGAGGTACTGCACTTGTGGTGAAGGATCAACTGGATAAATGGGCGAAGGGACCTGCGTCAAAGTCTGACGCGCACAACGAGCCAGCGCCCCCATCTGCAGCTGAGACGAAGGCTGAGCCCGGCATCAAACCATATGCGAATGCGGAAGAGTGCAAGGCTGCCATTGAGGAACTGCGTGCGGCATTACCCAGCGAAGGCGCGGTCCGGACAGACCCCAAGCTATTACAGACATACGGCCACTCCGACAACTCGTACCACCCGGATTCACCCCATGCGGTCATTGTGCGCCCAGCGAACACAGAGGACGTGGTGAATATCGTGAACATTGCGAGGAAGTACAGGATGCCGGTCACGCCGTATAGTGGCGCGACAAGTCTAGAAGGACACTATGCGGGCGTACGTTCTTCATTTACTCAACGCAATGATCAGTTCCTCAGTTCGCTCATGGTACTAGTAGTTCTCCACGGGCAGCATATGCATTGACATGGGTCTCATGAACAAGATCATAGAGGTTCATGGTAAGTGTTACGTCCAGCCGATGCAACTCGTAACTTATGTCTGGTTTAGAGAACGATGCCGATCTCGTTTGTCAGCCGGCAGCCAAGTGGGAGGACATCAATGCATATCTGAAAGAGCAGGGTTTGCCTCTCTTCTTCCCGGTAAGCGCTTCTTTACTCTGACGACCATTCAAGTACTCATCCTGCCACCAGCTTGATCCAGGTCCGGGAGCAACGATCGGCGGCATGATTGGAACGGGTTGCTCAGGAAGTGCGTGTCTGCTCATGCAACGTTGTCATGTCATGCTGACCTGCGCTTTACAGCTAACGCCGTTCGTTACGGAACCGCCAGGGCGGAGTGGTTCTTGAACCTGACAGTCGTGCTTCCGAACGGCGAAGTGATCAAGACCAAGCAACGCGCGAGGAAATCCTCGACGGGCTTCGACACAACCAAGCTCTTCGTTGGAGCTGAGGGTACCCTTGGCGTCGTTACCGAAGGCGAGTAAGCTTGCTGCCTGTCCAGCTCAGGTGCTGATACCCTCCGTAGTGACGCTTCGTCTGGCCCCACTGCTTCCAACAAAGGTCGCAATGGCCCAGTTTACAGATGTTGGTCATGCTGTCAGCGCCGTACAAGAGATTTTGCAATCTCCATACGGTAGCCACGTTCGTGAGTCTATGAACACAACCTGTGGTCGCCTCTAATGCCTAGCCTTGCAGAGTGCGTCGAGCTTCTGGACGACAACAGTGGGTACACTTCCGTGATGCCGGTTGCCTGCCTGTTGACGTTCAATCCGTTCTCAGTGATGTCAGCTCTCAACGGGACCGGCCTACTCGAAGATCCCCTTCCCGTTCAAGACTCGCTCTTCTTCAAGATCCAAGGCGCACCAGAAGCCGTCGCAGCCACAGCCGACTTGATCCAAAAGATCGCATCCTCGCACGGCTCGGAACGCTTCGCGTTCGCTAAGACGGACGAGGAAGCGGACTCGCTGTGGATGAACCGCAAGTACGCGTTGAACGCGACGTTGAGCTCGATCCCTGGCTCGCGCTGTTGGACGACGGATGTTTGTGTTCCAGTTAGTCGGCTACCGGAACTCGTGTATGAGACGAAGAAGGACCTTGCGAACGCTGGTATCAAGAGCACCATCGTCGGGCATGTCGGTGACGGTGCGCTCCTCTTCATGATGCTGACTTGCTCTTGAAGCTAATGAACTCTTAGGCAACTTCCACTCGCTTATGCTGTTCCAAGACGACTCGGAACTACCAGGCATCAATGCCGCATCTGACCGGCTCGTCAAGCGTGCGCTCGCGCTCGAGGGGACTTGCACCGGCGAACACGGCGTCGGTGTAGGCAAGAAGAAGTACCTCGTTAAGGAGCTCGGCCAAAGTACTGTCGAGCTCATGTGGACGATCAAGACTGCTGTCGACCCTCTCAACATCATGAACCCTGGGAAGGTACGCCTCTTGAAATGTCATAGTCGCCTCGTAAGTTAGGCTAATCAAGAGTTGCAGTTGTATCCAGATGTCGAGAAGCGGCCATGATGGCATCATGGTAGTATCGTATGCACCTACATTGCTTGGATATACACGAGACCATCTACTTCTGCTGCAATTTCTCCTTGAGCGTCTGTTCGATAGCCGCCACGTTCGGCGCTCCGGCCGCCGCGAACTGCTCACCCTCCTTTCCCGCCTTCTCAATCTCCGCGATCTCCTCGTCCGTCAAGTCAGCTACAGAGTTCAGTTTCAGACTCATTTGCGTGCTGTCGTATGGTCAAGACGACTCACGCAGCTTGAACGTGGCGAGGTACTCCTTTAGGCGCTCCTCGCGCTCGCTCGTTGTGATGATGACGACACGCTTCGCGAGCGCCCATTTGAACAACACCTGTGCAGCGCTCCCGCCGATACGCTCCGCAATGCGCGCAATCACCGCGTCCACTGGTCCGCCAGGCGCACGCGTGAGCGGGAGAAGCAACCTGAAAGCAGTGACGACGATCCCGTGTTCAGCGCACAGATCGAGTAAAGGCTTCGACGCGGCATAGTTGTACGGGTGCAGCCGTATCTGATTAACAGCGGGCTTGATCCGCGGGTTGGAACCGAGGATGGCGCTCAGTTCGGACACCTCAAAGTTGCTCACGCCGACGGACTTGGCCAGTCCGCCGTCGACCATCTTTTCGAACTGTTTCCAGGCTTTGGCGTGGTCGCCGTCTTTGCTGACTTTGGGGTGATGATGCAGGTACAGGTCGACTTGCGAGAGTTGGAGCTACGGATGCTCGTCAGATGGTACTCAGGATTGTGAGGCGGACTGGGCGTGTACCTTGGTTAGACTCTTGCGGAACTCTTCCTGCTCGTCGCCGCCGTCATACTTGGTACACACGTATACCGGCTTGCCAGCTGCCTTGATCGCACGCCCGACGTCCTCTTCGTTCAGGTATACTAACACAGGATCCCTTCAGTTCAGGAAGAGTAGGGAATACGCTGTTTGCGGACTCACTTGCGGCCGCGTCGATGTGGTTGAAGCCGACGTCAATCGCCATCTTGGCGGCTTCTTCCGCTGGCTGAAAACGGCTGTCAGTTCTCAATAGGTGCAGATCCAGTTCGCCCTTACCTTCTGGTAGAAGCGTGTGCCACTACCAAACGCGATGACGGGAATCTACGGGTAGCGCTCAGCTTCCGGAGGATCGTCCGTGCCCGCCCTATGAAGCGCACCTTATTCCCGTCGTTCAAGTCGAATGTAGGAATCTCGACGGCAGACATGACAGCTTGAGTGAATGCCAGCCACACGCCTCTGGCGCAGGTACTCTATATACCGGTTGTACGGTCTGTACAGTCGTCACTACTGGTTCCATAGTTCCCGACGGGTTCGCGTCGAGGAGCCGGTGGGCGATCAAAGCGCCGGCACGGATTGCCCGCTTTGGCTTTGACGGTGTGGATCGTCGAGCGCGAGTCGAGGAGTTGTATGCGAAGTTGCCTTAAGTGGCCAAGTATAGGTCCTCGATATGCTTGACTGGAAGTTGTATAGACAATTGCCGCCAGCGGCGTATGTACATACCCACACCCACGCCACTGGGCTCGGCCAGACCTCTCTGACCTTGACGCACGACATGGCCTCGACTTTCTGAGGCATACCGGACGTATGCTTGTGGTGTTGCCAGCGAATGTCTCAATTCGTGAATGGGTGGAAGCACATTTGATCACAACAACACTAAACAGAGAGATGGATACACGGTATGGGTGGTACTACAGAGAGCTAATCCAGAGAGAGATCCTTCATCACGGAGCATCAGGGCATGAGTGCGGGCTGCTTTTAGTACGTCTCGCCAGAGACGAGACCACCACGGTAGCCATTGCCGCTGCGTACGGAACGGATACCGAGAGCGAGCAGGGCAACGAGGAAGAGGGTCGTGAGGATCCTAAGCGGAGGTCAGCCGCAAGACGTTGGGGAGCACGCGTCCAACTCACCAGTTGATCCAGGCGAATGCCATATCAGCCATGAGCTGGTCGCAGTACGTGAAGCCGGCGTGCCTGAAGGATGGGATAAGCGCCCGAAAACCCGAGTTCGTGACAGTTGACGTACGAGCAGTTGACGCCCGAAAGGGGCGAGGTCAAGCTGGCAGCAGCTGCGAGCCAGAAAATCCAGGTCAAGAAGAAGATGACGAAGTGGCTGGCAACGCTGGCGAGGATGCCACCACGGGTAGAGGCACGGCTGAAGAGGGCGATGAAGATCAAGTTGAAGACAATAGTCCAGACGGAGGTGAAGAGCGTGAAGGTGTTGCGGTCACGGAGGGAGATGCTCGGGTAGTTGTGGTGCGAATTGTAGCGGGACTGCAGCCAGGCAGAGATGGCGAGCGAGATGATAGAGGTCACCGTCAGGAAACCGAGGAGACCTGCACAAAATTCAGCGAATTAGTTCCCGACATACACAAACTCCAGAACTCACCAGGGTGGAAGCGGCGGACGTGGTTGTCAAGGGCCATTGTATTTGTCGTGAACGGGTGAAAGTCGTTTGGCTCGTTGAAGGCGGAGTGAAGTAGAGTAGAGTATAATTGGCCAGAGTCGAGGTGGTGCGATTCTTATACCGAGCGCCGCCGCTCCTGTTGGGAGCTCCGAGTCCGACAATGACGCGTGCCGGCCTTGTCTGAGCTCAGGTTAGGGTTGGACGCCTGGCACACGCCACTGGCCCTTGTTCTCTTCCAACAACACGGCATCCCTTGCCGCTATCACCGCTTCTCACACCTCGTGTAGACCGACAATGGAAAATGTATCTGTAGGCTGTCTACCATCGGATTCATCTGCGACACGTTCTTCGCTCGAATCTTGGTGCAATTTACCTCTAGGATTATCTGCCGCTTATGCGCAGAGGATGATGCGGCTCGGGGCTTGCATCGGGCCCGTCTCCTTCGTCTCGCATCCTGACGGCAGTCTCATCGACATCCGAGAACTGCGACGTTCCGGCAGAGAGGTTTGGCGGATGTGAGGAGTGGTCTCGCGGATGAGCCCCTGGCGCGGTGACTCGCGTCGGCCAACTTGCACGTCGGGCGTTGAATTTTCCTGGTCGGGCTTGATGGAGTGGAGTTATCTACTAATTGGCTACGCGTCCCGCTCGTCGGGCGGATTTATGACAGCCAACATATAGCCATTCCGCCGGCCAAAGCGCTCGGAGGGACAATTAGGCTCGGCCTTTTGGTTCGACGCGTTCGGCGTCCATCGGGACCCACACGCATCGATAGACCGTTGATGGATCTCGCCACATTGATTGCCCGCGCATTTTACGTGCCCTGGCTCTATTGCGCTCCCCGCACAGTCACGCATTTAGTGCTCGTCGCGAAGGCTCGAGGTGTGGCGCGTTTCTCATCAGGGGCTACCTGTCGTCGCCGGTCGATCGCGCCGAGAGCCTCGCACCCGAGTCACCCATTCGAGCGAACAAAAGGGCCTCGAGGCCAGCTCAGATCTTCACTCGTATACTCATCTTCCCATTCCAGCAGCCTTCTCGACAGCTTACGACCCGTACGCGCAGACGAAGCACTGAGATCGCCGTACTCTTCATACGTCGGACAATAGGGCCGCCTGCGACAGCCGACCGCCCGAGTGTGGCGTCGGCATCGGGCGCAGAGCGCTGAGCCAGAGTCCGCGGACCCGATTTCCATTTCGGTTTATCTACCTGGTGCGCCACGCGCAGGCGTGGCCTGGCAAACTCTGCATAGCTTGACTCGCGCGGGCTGGGGAGCTGTACTTGGTATAAAGATCCCTTGCGCGCTCCTGCCATGAAGATTGTCGTATCCCGTGTCCCGTCGCTCTTTCTTGCTCTCTCGCTCTCGTATTCCCCTCGCGCTCCCTGACAGAGACAGAATGAAGCACGAGTCTCATCCCTCCATCTCTTTCGTTATCTCGCAGATGCAGCCCCGCCCGCCATTGCCTGCTCACGTCGCCCCGCGTCGCACGCGCTCTTCACCCATGCTTCGCAAGCAGCGCCGCGAAGCGATGGTGCCCGTCTTCCCCCCGACTCTCGACCCGGACTTCATCACTGTATGTTGTCCGCGTTGCTCCATTACTCGTCACACACTCAAACACCCCGCAGAGACTCGACATCAAACACACTGACCTCAGTCGGCGCTCGTCTGAGGCCACCATTGAATTGTCACCTCGATCATCCTCGCGCTCTAGCTGTGCTCTGGTACGTTCTATAGATGCTCCGGCTCCCCGCACACGAAACTCAACTCTGACTGTTCTCTCATGTTAGAGCGCCGAGATGCTTGATGACTGCTCATTTGAAATTGTCGTGGAGCCGCCCAGTCCAACAGTTTCTTGCGCCCCCTCGTCATCCACCTCTTCATTCGGCTCTTCAACACACGTACCAGCGCCATCTGTACGCCGGCGTAAACGGGCGAAGGCCATTGTCGCTGTAAGCCTTCCGCGTCCTTCGCGTTCCAGCCACGTTCACATGCTGATTTACTCCCTAGGGCGCCCTTGATACGATGTTCTTCCGCTGGTGCGGTGCATCCCATTCCGTACGGCATGCAGAAGAAAACCTCTCATTCGACCTGTGCACTTGAAGCGCAGCATACCCCACCCCACTCACCACAAAGTATCTTATACCTATGTACTATACTGTACCCCTCCGAGCCCTGCTCTTCGACCTTCGCCTCAGACTCTCCACCATCTTGGATTTCACGACCACTCTCCTTCGATCTTCGCTGGTCAACCCCACCATTGCTTCTTGCTCTCAATCATCGCCGTCACTCTCGTTCCCTGGATCCTGCTCGCCTCTCCCCGTCTATGCCATACACTCATCTCATCGCATGCAAACATATCGTCTCCGTCGCCCGTCCATGTCACATACACCGCATCTTGTCTGCCTCTCATCTTGTATGTACTATAGCTGCATCATAACATCGTCTTAGCACGGCTCGAAGCCATCAATACACATACGTTTTGGCCATCTCCAGACCGAACTCAGCGAGAGTTCGATCTCTTACCTGCGCAGTCGCCCGTACGTGTGCAATCTCACGCGTCGCACAAGAAGGCAAGTGAAGTTCCAGAGAAAGCGACAGCGTGGTGATACAGTGCATTGTGCGGATACAGAGCAGAATGTCCGTCTACATAGCATCGATAACCTCCTTCAACTCGACCTCGTTCAAGATCTGGAAGCCCTTCTCCGGTGTGACCTGCGCGAGCTGGACGTTATGATGGTCGAGTTTCTCCTCCATCACCTGCTTCAGTACTCGCAAGGTCAGGACTTGTGCTTCGAGTAGTGTCATTTGCTAGGAGCCGTCAGCGTCGTGACAAGAGCTTGAGGGAGGTGAGTACGTACTTTGTGCCACTTGTCTTGCAACTCGCTCTGTGCCGCCTCAGATCCCGACCCGATCGCCTTTGCCTCGTACTTGATAAATGTACCAGACGGATCTGTGTGGAATCTACACCTCGTCAACTATCCACTCCAACAAATACGCTCTCAAAGACTCACAATTGCGGCCCCCTCTCATCCACACCCGCAATAAGCAACGCCACACCAAACGGCCTACTCATCATCGCGTCCTCATCATGCACCGACTCTCCAAACCTCAATGCCAGATCGCACACAGCCTGCGTAGCGCTCTCGACGCCAATCGCCTCGTCGTACGTGAACGCGTGGTTCTGCGCCGTCACGCGCGCGTGGTCGACAATCGTGCGCGCGTCCGCGGTCAGGCCGGACATCGCGCAGCCGAGGTGGCGGTCGATTTCCATTATCTTTTCGATGGAAGAGGATTCGAGCAGGGGGGATTGGACGCGCTTTTCGACGCCGAGGACTACGCCGAAGGGGGTGCGGATGCCGACTGTTGTAGAGCCGAGCTGGGGGCAGGGTAAGTGTCATGTACGCGTATATCGGATATTAGATTACATACCTTGATTGCCTCAATGGCATACTCGACTATATGTTAGGTTAAGATAGTGATCTCGATGCAGTCAGACTGATGAGTGCCAACCTTGGAACAAACGTCCTTCTGGGGAGAAGGTGTTGACACCGCGGTCTGGGGGTATAACGTTGAGAAGTCAGTCATATCAGAGAGCAATACAAGTGCAGACCGTATTCTGATCGTGTAAGGAACATGGCGAGGACGATGAAGGTAAGGAGGACGGCTGCACTCCAAGTCGAGGAGGACTTGAACGCGCGTCGCGCACACGCGTCTTGATCGCGGCAAAGGCCGGTACGCGTCGTCGCGCCAGACGCGACGCGACGCGACGCGCTTTGATTTCCTCTTCGACCACCACATCAGCTAGACCCCCTATGCGCTTTGCACATCTCCCTAAGGCGCATATATGTTTCAAATCCTACTTCTGAGAGGGTGCTTGGTCGTGGAAAGTTCGAGCATTGCCATGCCGATACCCGGACCCGTGCATTCCTCAGAGCAAGCTTTCTGGCTTGATCGCGTACGAATTGATACTGTCGCCTCAGGATCCAATTAGGCATCGTCCTCGCAGCGTCGGTTTCGGTTGCACATCTTGCTAACATATATTGAGCATAGCGGTCATATCTTGCAGGCCAAATGCCGCCCCAGACCGGAGTTGGCAAATGTGCGACCCTGGTCATTTACGTTTCGGCTTTGTGAGCCCGCTTCGGACGGCGAATACAGATGGGGATGCGATTGTCAAGAAATCCTTGCTTCCTCGGGCGTAATGTTGGTTTGCTGGCCACTGGCGTTACCTTGGTCTACTGCGGTCAACCTGACGAAGCGACCTACTCAGTTGAGAAGCAGCTGATCAGGCCGTATTTGGTTGGGTACATAACCCGCAGGCCGTCCTTCTCGGCCAGCCCGCCGGCCTCAATCCTCACGCTCATACGCACCCGGTTTGGCCCATGGGATGCTGAGACCGGAATGCGCAAACTTCTGTCAATTGAAGTTAGTCTGTGTGACCGGTCGCGGTTCTCGAAGCGCAGAAGACGGCGGTGTCATCTCGGATGCCCTGAAGATGCGGTTATCCACGAGGCTCGCACCCTCCGTGAGGTTCTCTCACTAGGACCACTACAGCGCCGACCCTTCGATGAAGACGTTAGAGGCTGTTTGGCGAATCTTCTTTGAATTGAAAGGGCTAGCGCCCGCAACGATGACAGCGCGCGGTCTAAAGCTGGGGCGCTCCGACTGTGCTACGCACGTAGGCTCCTCCATGCTTGACGCTTTGTATCCTACGACCAGTGGATCTTCGGTATCTGACCCAATGCTCGTTAGCATCTGGTTGTGGATACCGCGACCTCTCCGAAGCGAGTCTTGGTCTCTCGCCGAGGCGTGCCGACGGCGATACTTACCTATTACTCGCATAAAGCACAGTCACGGTTTGGCTTCCCGTTTGCGCTCCTGACGAAGGGCCATCGATGTTCCACAAGACATTTCGATTCTGACCTCGCGGAGCGGTACGCGCCCGGCGACCGGACACAGATGCTACTTCTATACGTTACCGTGAATCATCGTCCGGCCGCTTGTCGCCGGTCGTTCATATGCTTGGAGGGAGAGAGCACTATGTAGCTTATATGTACGCATTGCGGTCTAGCGTGTTATCTCAGGAGGAAAGCATTTATCTGAGCGGCGCGCTATACGAGAGCTTCTAGCACGGCAAGTCCCGTCGTTACAGAATGCAGAGGGCCGAGACGAGTTTAAGCTGTTCCAGTGCCTTGCGGGGCAAAGCTTCTGGAATTCTTCGAAGGAAGGACATCCTTGGGTTCACACAAGGTTCTCAGGCTCTGTCAGTGTGAAGAACCCGCCTGGACGGCGCAACCATGAAAGGTGCTTGCGGGCCGTGCGCCCTCGTACGTATATCCCCTTGTACCGCTACGTCCACCACGTACGATCCAACTCTGCGTTTCGTTCGCCGAACATGGCGCCTTCTCCCATGTCCCCTGCGTCCCCCGCCTTCGCTGCGCCCAACGGCAACGGTACCCCGGCAGGTTACAGTCGCCGTCGCTCGCTTTCGGACCCCTTTACTGCGATGCTCCGACCACCGGCGGACGAAACTCCTGCTGAGCGCCATCAACGACTGGAAGCTGAACATCGCGCAAGACAAGTTAGCGAGTCGATCGACCAGCAGCTCAAGTTGGAGCACCAGGAGCAGAAGAAGAACAAAGTGGATGTCAAGGTCTTATTATTGGGCCAGAGCGAGAGCGGGAAGAGCACGACATTAAAGCGTGAGTGTCTTCTCGCTGCGTGGTGCTACGTTGGAAGCTAGGGGACTGCGTATCCGGTCACGACCAGGAATTCTTGAGATTCGGGCTGTGGAACATGTGGCGACGATCCAGCGCGGCTTATGACTCCCCTTTCATCGATATTCTACATCTGGCTGTAATGCTGGCACTAGGTTCAGCTTGGCTTAATGTGCGTCACTTGAGGCTATCTGGGCGACCTGTTTCTGGGATGTCCGGCACACAAAACACCGTGGCGAAGGTTCCTACACACATTCCGAGGCTGCTGCTTCTAACCTTGTGCGGCGGACGAAGTACTGTCGCAAGGGGGAACTTTCTGGGTCCAACATCTCCTCACGCCCCTTCGCTCGGCATCTTAGCCTTCCCCGGTTACGAGTGTTCGAGAGGGCGCTGTTCTTACTCTCTTAGCCTTCTTTTCCCTTCAGTTCGCCGCTTGAATCGCGCAACACGCTGACGCGTCTCCACAGAATTCCAGCTCGCGCACACGCCTGCCGCCTTCCGCGCAGAGCGCATGGCATGGCGTCCGGTTATCTATCTCAATCTCGTGCGTTCTATCCGCCGGTAAGTCGCCCTCAGTGTGCGTGTCAGGAAGGTTTCGGCCTTCCATAGGGTCAGTTATGGGCATGAGCTCACGCGTCACCGCAGGATCCTCGATGCCATATCGCCGGACCTGGACGAGCCAGTAATCGTACCTCAGACTGCGCTGACGGACACCTCGTTTGCGCAACCGTCTGCCGGCGTTGTACTATCCGATACGGAGATCGCACAGAAACACGCCCGGTATTCCGAACGCCTAGCGCCGCTGCTCGATCTGGAAGAGCGCTTGATCACCATGCTCGCGGAGGACGACGAGGAAGAGGCGACCCGGTTGGGCGATGGTTCCTCCCCGGGCTGGTCGCATGGCTCTTACACCGGGCGGCCTTCCCTGTCAGTCGAAACGCGTATCCCCGCCGCGCAAGGCGCGCGCTCACCCGGCTCATCGAGCTTGCATCGATCGCACGGCGAGGTCGCGGTGCGCACGACGTCAAATTGGAAGAAGGCGCTCTCGCTATCTCGTGTAAAATTACGCCCCGCGGCCCCCGACCAACCCGGAGGCGAGGTCGTCGGATGGTGGGAAGACCCGTCAGACCCCGTGCATGTGCTAAGCCAGTGCTCCCGCGACATGACCGCGCTTTGGGCGGATCCCTGGGTTCGCACGCGCTTGGCGGCCCGACGAATACGGCTGGAAGAGAGCAGCGGCTTGTGCGTCCTACTCTTCTTTGCTCTTGATGCTGGGAAACGAACGAGATCCTGATCGGCCTGTGGGCGCCCATAGCTACCTGAACGAGATCGACAGGATCACTGCTAAGAAGTACATACCAACAGATGGTGAGCCTCCCAACCGGTTCTGTTCGATCAGCCTTCTCACACTTTACAGATGATGTGCTCAAGGCGAGGCTCAAGACCATGGGCGTCGTCGAACATACATTCACGGTATCGACGGGCCCGAAAGTGCCCAAGCCAATGGTCTGGAAGATCTTCGACGTCGGTGGCGCGCGAAACCAACGGCAGGCGTGGGCACCGTACTTTACGGACGCCAACGCAATCATCTTCCTCGCTCCTATCTCCGCCTTTGACCAGGTCCTAGCGGAAGACCCGCGGGTGAACAGGCTGGAGGATAGTCTGCTGTTATGGCGATCCGTCGTCTCGAACAAGCTGTTGCAACACGTCAACCTCATCATATTCTTGAACAAGTGCGATCTGTTGAAGGCAAAACTCGAGAGCGGGGTTCGGTTAAACCAGTACTTGCTCACCTACGGCGAGCGCCCGAACGACTACGACTCGGTCTCACGATATCTGCGCAATAAGTTCGGTCTACTACATCAGCAGTATACGCCGAATCCCAACCGCGAGCTGTTCAGTGCGTACTTTGGGCGCTGATGCATTGTCGGCTACCCGTCACTGACCGGACCTGCTATGTAGTTCACTTCACAGCGGTGACCGATACTCGCCGAACATCAACCATCATCGCGAATGGTACGTGCATCTTCACCGCTTACATATCCCCTGCTGACCCGTCCCGCCTAGTCCGCGACATCATTGTCCGACAAAACTTGAAAGACTCGAAACTGCTAGTCTAGCCGCCTCCCTCCTCCTGTCCTTCATGTCCTCCTATGTCCTTTCATGTCCTCTGCTGCTCCATCTACCCATCTGCTCCATCTTACACTCCGCACTTCGCACATCCCAATCCAGCCCATATACCATACGTCGCCTCCGTACCACACTATCTTTTTGGGGCCTGTTACAGATCTACCGCACATCCATCTTGTCGTCTCGCTATGTTGTCACTGTGCTGTCGTTGCAAATGGATGCCTCTCCGTGTCTCTTCAGATGCTTTTATACTCTTCATGTAGCCCGCGCAAAAATAATACGGTACTGCGGGTGCTCACATCAAGGTTGAACGTTGATCACTGACTTACGGCGAAAAACTCTCGACACTTGACAAAAAAAACAACCCCCATAATCATGGGGTTCGGATACGGGGAATCGAACCCCGAGCTGCCGCGGTCTGGATTGTATCCTGAGAGGCGGCAATGTTAGCCGTTACACCATATCCGATGGAAAGTGTTAAGAGTGAGGCTTAATAACAAGGGTTACGTCTGTGCATGTTCAAACGCGCCCCACGTGTTCGCGTCGCGGCACTCGCGGCGCGCTGAACTTGACCGCGTTTGCACCTTCAACCGCGACTACCACCGCGTACAACGCGTCACGTAGCCAGCTCTCTTGCTCTTGACGCGTCTATCATACTATTTTACCTGCTGAACATACCCATGATCTTTTGAGCGCTACTCGTCTTCTGCCACAGCCTCATTCTCAATGCCCGGCCCAGAGGAGGCAGGACCATCGCGGCCCACAAAGCGAAAGCGTCGCGAAGCCACAGTACGCTGCATCGAGTTAAAACTATGAGCCCATGACTTACGTACTCCCATATCACAGCCTCCCGTCCGACGTCCGCCTTCGAAACGAGCTCCTGCTTCTCAGACCCGTCCTGAGACAACTTGTGAGGTCCCGAGTATTGCCATCTTGGCGGTCACGTCTCATCCATTTACCACTCTAGATACATCATTGCCTAAGGTGGCTGAAGTGCTCGAGACAGAAGATCTTCTCCCTACCGAATCCTCTCCTGATGACGGCGATGAGGATGCTGATACAGACGAGGACGATCGTGACCGGAAAGTGCCCGTGCGAATGCTCAACGAGTTCTGCGTGTTTGAGGAGTATGAAGGCCGGCGCGTGATTCAGTCTTTGGAAGATTACTCGAGGACCCGTCTTCAAGCCGTCGGTACCGCGACGCCGTACTTCAGCGACGCAGACGCTGGTAACGACGAGGATGTTGCTGACGGTGCCGTTTACTTGCGGACGACCCGTATCCGTGATATATATGTGCAGTACCTAGAATATGACCGGTTAGTAAGCCTAAATGCCTCTAGCCTGAACTATGACATTCATCTATCTCATGTTTTGCTTAGGCTTATTTGGATCAAAACCGAACACGCATGGTATGTACTCTGCGAGGCCAACGCAGAGTATCGACAGCAGTACACGACCTTCGCGAACAAGCAATTTAGTCTCCAGCTACTTTGCTCCATGGCAGCTCATCCTCAGGTGACTCTTCAGGAGTATTATGACGCTCTTGAGCGCGAAGTACTGGGACGTGAATGCCGAGAAAGTGATCTCCACGACTTCGTGCGCGCATTCGCCCATCTTTGAATTCTCACGCTGATGATGTTCTTCAGATGAACTTGCTGAACCAGTTCGCTCGGGAAGAGGGCCAGTCATTCCTCCACATCCCGCTTATACACGCTGTACGCAAAGAATGCGGTTTCCTCGACGATGAGATGCTGCTGCCGTCTTCTGCTCCCCGTGTGCCCAAGCGTCGACCTATCGTCTACAAAGGGAGCCCGCGCAACCTCGACGAACATGTTCTCCGGCATGATCAGCTGACGAGCACATGTGTCACGCCCTTCGTTGATCGTTTGAGGCAAAAGTACCATCCGTCGTGGGCGGTCGACAGCACCGTTGTTCACTGGGAGCGCGATGAGGATGACCTTCCCAAACCAACTGCCCAGCGCAAAGCAGCGGAACATCAGCATCTCCTCGCTTGCGTACGGCGTGCACGCGACGACGTTGACGACGAAGTCAGGGTGCTTAGACGTAACAGCGAGGGTGATGTTATTGCTGTGCGCGTAGGCTCTGAGATCTACTCTGTGCGCCCATAACTGCTTTGGCTGTGCAATCGTATACTCATTCGCAGCAGATTGGAGATGTCGTCGTGTTTTTTCCTACGTCTTCGTGGAATGGCAAAAAGCCAGACCCACTCCCAAAGAAAGACAGAGATATTGTTGTTGGCACACGACTGGAGGACCTGGTATTCTGGTGAGTCATCATCGCTTCTATGATACATACTGACTTACGGTCAACAGGTTTGCCCGTTTGGTCTCCATCGAGGAGCCTCCCCCGCCTAAGAAGTCCAAATCCAAGTCCAAGGGCAAGCCCAAGTCCAAATCTAGCGGGAGCGAACAGATAATGGGCCACGTCGTCTGGTTCGAACATGCGTCTCGTACCTTCGTAGGCGAAGAGGCAGATCCACGTGAGCTTGTGCTTTGGCCACGCCAGTGTGACGACCAGCCTTTGGCGGCCATTCACGGCAAAGTTGGTGTCCACATGATGTACGAATCGGGTGTTGTTGCTGATCTTCCCGCCGATTGTTCTTACTTCTGTCGGTGAGTATGATTCCTGTCCGTGCAGGTATGACATGCTGACTCTCCTCAGATTCGAGTACACGGAGGGACTGGGCTATCGGTCAATTCCTCCTCCTCCTCCATTCGACATACCAGTCTGCACGAACTGTTCCTCCAAAGGAACCCGAGAATTGGACGACGAAGACATTCCTCTCAAGGTCGGGCTCGGATTTCGAATGCACGGACAACTCTATCACGCCGACGATTGTTGTCTCTTCTACACGTCCGACGAGCCCGGCTTTCCAGGGAGCTTGGGACTGGCGAGGATCGGGCAGATCATGTTTCTCAATGTCGAGACAGATTCCTTGGAGTTGAGGGAGTTCGGACGCATCGCGGACTTTGCCGCACACTTTGGAGACGCGAGGGTTGAGCGGAGTTGGGATGCAGTAAGTCGTCCACGCACGCTACACGCGCTCCATCATGCTGATGCAGTTTACACCAGCAACAACTCTTTGTCGGCCCGATCGTCCAGGTGCATCCGAAGGACGTCGTTGGGTCGTGCAAAGTTTTGCATCGTGATGCCATCCCCGGAGGTGACATTGGTTCGTACGTCTCCGCCTCGTCCACGAACTTCTGGGTTCGTTATAAATCTTGGGACGAGTCCCTGGATATTGCGTCTGCCGACGAGCTTGAAGAGCTTGATCCCAGCGATGTTCCGCCCTGCAGCAACGGGTGCGCCGAGAGTCGCGCAGATCGCGAAAGCAACCACGAGGTTTTTTGCGGTATGAGTCAAGGTCGTAAATGTCTTGACATCTGCGCTGGGGCTGGCTTGCTTGGCGCTGGCTTGAGCGAAGGTAGTAAGGGCATCTACGATGTAACACATGCCGTCGAGATTCGACCGTCTGCTGCACAGACTATCCGGTAAGAGAAGGATTCCATTTCTGCGCCTCTGCGACTTAACCTGACTCGTCTTGATAGCAACACCCACCCTCGAACGAAGGTGTATATGACGTGTATGAATACTCTCTTAGAGTCGAGTGTCAAATGGCATAACGGCGATCAGAGTGCATACGATGGGCTCACAGCCACCGACGGAAGTGGTCTGCCTGATACTCCTCCTCAGCCAATGGATAAGATTGATACTGTCGTTGGCGGCATTCCATGGTGTGTATCCCTCATCGGTCGCATGTAGTTTGTGAAACTCACCTTTTTTCAGCCAGTCGCACTCTAGCTTGAACGCGTTCAAGCGACAGAAGGACAAGAAGACCGATTTGATGCTGTCTTTCTTATCCTGGATCCACTTCATCCGACCGAAGTGAGTGATTCTCGGCCTGTAGACGATCTCTCGCTTATAACCCAACCACAGTCGAATCATCCTTGAGAACGTCAAAGGATTCATGGACTTTGCCGTCGACGGTGTTCCCTTAGATCCCAAGAAATGTCGTGGAAGTGGCCTTCGCTTCCTTGTCAACGTCTTGATGCGTCTCGGGTACGCCACTCGTCCCTACATTCACCCACGGCGGCCACTTACTCACTCGTGTATACCAGGTATCAAGTACAGTTTTGCCTGCTCAACGCCGTGCACTATGGCACTCCGCAGCGCCGTGTGCGGTTCATCCTCTTCGCCGCGAAGATCGGCTTTCCCCTGATGCACGCGCCTAAACCAACGCATTATCACCCCAGCGAGGCCGCGAACTTGACATACAGCCATCTTAATGCCGAGGGCCAGGATGTCAAGCTATCTGCGCTAGAGGCTCGACAGTATCGCGTTCCGCTGCGCTACATCTCCGTTTGGGATGCGATCAGCGACCTCATACCATGGGATTTGTGAGTTGGGCATCATCATGCAATTTCATGAAAGTATCGCTCATGTCTTCGGTCCTTCGTAGGGAATCTACAGATCCCCGCGTCGAGAAGCATCGTGCGGAAGACCAAGAAGATCTCATCGAGCTGCGCGAACATCTCGTTTCTTTGTGCGGGGAAATATTCGAGTACCCGCAGTTAAACATCAAAGACGGCATGATTGGACCGCAGGTCGAGATGTTCTCAACTCTCAATTCTTATCTGGGATCGCCGCGCTCGACATTTCAAGAGGCAATGCGCCCCAAGGATAAGGAAGTCCGTGCCTTGCAGCACTACTCGGTGACGATCGGCAGACCCATGACACAGTTGTGCGTTGTATCTACTCGTTATGCGTCGTGTACTAAACCTTACATGTAGAGTTCGCCTTGTCCCACTCGTTCCTCGAGCTGATTGGCAGGACATACCTCGAGATCTAGTGGAGAGATTCGCAGACCCTTCACGTCGCAAGAAGGATTGGAAGAGGGGTTGGTCGATTCAAATACTGTGTCCAGCTTTCATGCTTACTCTTGACCGCAGGCACTATCGGTCGTATCGATAAGGACGGTGTCTTCCAGACGATCGTCACAAATGTCCACCCTCTTGCGAAGCAGGGGTGGGTCTTGCATCCTGTCGTACGTAACGCTCTCTGCTGAAGCATCTCCCATTCATCTGACGAGCACGTTTGCAGTGTCGCCGTATTTTGACCGTGCGGGAGCTGGCTCGCGCTCAAGGCATTCCGGATTGGTATCACATCTACGCGCCCGTGGACCCGGACCACAACGTCATAACTCGCGCCGGGGTTATCGAGGTGAGACTCTATCGTGAACAGCGTGCAGCATCGCGACACTCACTGGAGAGCGCAGATGCACCGACAGATCGGGAACGCCGTTCCGCTGCCGTTGGCCACTGCGATTGGACGTGCGTTACTCGAAGCTGAGTTCGAGCCTTGGTATGCGCTATCGTACGAGGAACGGATGGCTGTGCTGGGTATGGGTATTGATGATTGAGTTATGCAATGACGAGGGTGATGACCCGCTTTCTTAAATAGCCCTATTAGACTCGGGTATGAGTATTCTCTGTGGAAAGCATACGGAACTAGTAACTGCATCGCTATCTTCTTGCTTATCTTCTTGCTTATCTTCTTGCTATTGGATTGCTTCATCTCGTAGGAACACATCGTTACCATCGTCTCTTTGATTCTATAATACAATGTCATGCAATATACACTATCTACTTCAGGACCGTCGTTTGGGTGTTTCGGTTTACATCGCCTGCAGTTCCCTTGTCGCGAACATAAGTACCCCGCAAGCGCTCATTCCGCATCCTCCTCGATATCAACCAATTCCCGCCCTTCCTCCACCATCTCTCCTTCAGCACACCCGATCCCAAGCACAACACCTCCCCGTCCAGCCCTCAACACCGTCTCGGTCTTCATACTCTCCAGCAACACCACGGCATCGCCCTTCTCGACCCTGTCGCCGACCTTGACCTTGATCCCAATGACGAGCGAAGGCATCGGCGCGCGCAATGCGCCAGCTGCCGGTGCGACATCTGCGGCGAGAGATAGTAGCCATGCAGGCGGTGGAAGTGCCAATGTGGTATGCGTGCCGTCGACGGAAAAGACGTGTAAGCGTGATGCATTGGATCCGGGAGCAGCATGCGGAGGAGCCAGCTGTTGCACGACCGTCGCGCGTCGCAGAGCACCAGTGAGAGTCGTGTGGATCTCGGTTGGCGATACCAAAGAAGCATGCACGTTCTCGAACGTCGTCTGCTCGCTTCCTGCAGACGAGCCAACTACAACGTCGTATGTACCGACTACCGCTCGCACGCGTACGGTCACGGGCCAGGTCTCGGGATTCTCGCCTTCGCCGGCTTGAAGGGTGATGGTGCGTACAGAGGCATCGCCTGCGAAGCGTCGCGCGCCGAGTGACGTCCATGGCGAGGCACTGGCTGGAGGTTGGTCGCGGAGGGCCGCGAATAGCGCTGCCTGCGCTAGGACTTCGGGATTCGGCGAAGACGGTGTTGGGAGAAGCTCTGCTCTGTGTCTCTGTATGTGCGCATGAGCTTAAAGCCTGTGCAAGCGCATAGGCAACGGTACGACGTACCGGGATGAAACCTGTATCCACGTCGCCTTCAATGAACTTCGGGTGCTGAGCGAGCGAACGCAGGAACTCGACGTTCGTATGCACACCAACGACCCTGTACTCTTCGAGTGCACGCGACAGTAGACGCAATGCGCTTGCGCGATCCGGTCCATGTACGACGAGCTTGGCAATCATAGGATCGTAGAAGACTCCGATCTGGGCGCCGGCACCGAAGCCCTGCTCAAGGCGTACGGAGGGAACGACGGTTGTTGACGCAGGCCCTGAACCGGCAGCTTCGAGACCACCTGCGGATGAAGGGACATGCGGAAGAGGTGGGGCAAAGATGGTAGTCGGTTCCGGAGTCGAGACGTATAGTAGTGAGCCGGAGTCGGGTAGAAAGCCGTTGCGTGGGTTCTCGGCGTAGATGCGTGCTTCGAAGGCATGGCCTGCGAGAGGGATTTGCTCTTGAGAGAGCGGAAGCGGGTTCCCAGCGGCAACCTATACCGATGGCATCAGTGTTTGAACACACAGAAAGGGTGATTGATCAAAATGAACCTCAAGCTGCCATTCGACTAGGTCAAGTCCAGTGATCATCTCGGAGACGGGGTGTTCGACCTGGAGGCGCGTATTCCTGAACAGTACGAGCTGATGAGCCTCTTCGTCGTCTTGCAGAACTTGGAGTCGGGGATGCACTCACATCTCCATGAAGTAGAACCGTCCATCGTCGCGGTCGAGGATGAACTCGACCGTGCCAGCACCAACATAGTCGACCGCTTGAGCTGCCGCAACTGCCTTGGCGCATAAGTCCGCGCGCAGCTCGGGCGCGAGTCCTGGGGCAGGTGCCTCTTCGATAATCTTCTGGTTGCCTGTACGTGAGAAAACGTGTCAGACTTGAATGTGATGGTGGGAAAGGGGGTAAGACGCACGTCGCTGTACGCTGCAGTCGCGTTCCCAGAGACTGACAGCATTGCCGTGTGTATCGGCAAAGACCTGTACCTCAACATGTCGCGGGCGCGCAACGAATCTGCAACGGCCCCACGTCAGCATCTAGGCCGTTCCAGTTTGTGATGTATGGTTACGCACTTCTCAACGAGCACGTCCGCATTTCCAAAGCTCTTCTGCGCCTCACGCTGACAGCTAGCGAGCGCCTCCTTGAACTCATCGGACGAATTCACAGCGCGCATGCCCTTGCCGCCGCCGCCATGGACAGCTTTGATAAGCACCGGGTACCCTGCAGGCAACACGGCGTTAAAGAGAGCAATGGCCGAAGATACAACGAAGCGTACCAATTTTCTCGGCCTCTTGCTGAAGGAAATCTGGGTCTTGATTCGTGCCATGATAACCTGGTACACACGGCACACCGGCGGCGGACATGATCGTCTTGGACTCGCTGGTAAGGTTCGGGAACTATGAGTTTGACGTCTAAGCTTGCGAGAATGGACGTGCATACCTCTTGGAGCCCATGCTGACGATAGCGCTCGCTGGCGGGCCGATGAAGACGATGCCTGCGGCAGCAAGAGCATCCGCGAAGGCCGCATTCTCGCTCAAGAAGCCGTACCTACACACCAGTCAGCATAAAATCTATCATATAGTATGAGAAGGACATACCCTGGGTGTACAGCCTAAAGAAGAGGAAAAGGTGGACGCGCATCAGTCACGACATGGAAGTGAAACGAAAGACGCGTCAAGTATACCTGCGCGCCGCTCCGTTTGCACACGTCGATGATCTTGTCCATCCGGAGGTAGCTCTCCGCGCTTGGTGCTGGGCCAATGCAGTAGGCCTCGTCAGCCTATATGGGCGAAGGTTAGCGCCGCCTTTGCGTATGTGAACGAAGGAATCTACTGACCAGTTGAACGTGCATAGAGCCTGCGTCGGCTTCACTGTATACAGCAACAGTGCGTACACCAAGCTTGCGCGCAGTGCGTATAACGCGACATGCTATCTCGCCTCTACGTAAACATTGAGTCTCAATGCAGTACAGTAAGCGCAAATGACAACGCCGCACCTGTTCGCTACCAGTATCTTGTCAAAGTGCGGCTTCTTGTCGAGAATGACAGCCTCCAGGTGGGCTTCGGTCGCCAGACCACGCGCATGGGAAGTGATAACTGGCTTTGCGCGTGTTCGGCTCTGAGGTTGGGGGAGTTGATGCGGTTGAGAGGATAGTGCGCGCGCGAGGCGAGATCCGGCCGGCGCGCTCGCCGCGCTACGTGCAGCAGCGCGACGTAGGGAGGCAGAGGCGACCTTGCGGGAGGTGATCATACTTCACACTCCTCAGAGTAGCAAAGTCGGGGTGTTGTGTGGTTGGGTGTGGTGAGTGGTAAACTGTGAACTGAGACACGGTGAAGCTGAAGACCCTTCGCAGTCGCGGTGTCGAGTTCGAGGATGGACTCCGCACCACCGAGGCTAAAGTACTCGGTTTAGTGCTGACAGCCACAGAGCGTATATCAATTGCGATATTGAAGAGCTGCTTGCGCTTGTACTCGAGAAAATGGAGGTCCACTGGGAGTAATGCGGGGTAAAGGTGGGGGTTTGAACCGGAGAATGCGGGGAAGGCACGCGCATTTTGCCCCTATCCGGACATCCGGGCCGATGTTCAAATGTTCAAGTCTGCGGACGCTCGACGCCGCGTCCACTTGCTTGCAACCTCCATCACGCAGGATTTTCAGTAAACCTGAATGCGATCACCCATCCTCATTGTGCACCAGGATCATGGTTTTAAAAGGTTACTTCAGGTAATATCTGGCTTGATCGCACTTGTCGTCGCATTCGTGCGGCATGCACTGGCATATGACGACAAGCATCGAATAGAAGATCACCCGGCGCTTGACTGCAGCGCTCTCTGAGTGGCTCGCTCGGGCTTTCTCAAGCTGAAGCTCAAATCCCTGAGGCCAAAGCTCACGGCGTCACTGTTAAATGTGGAGCGGTATCGAAGGCAGGAACTTAAAGAGAGGGCTACGAGGCCTAACCAGAACTACCAATCCCACGTGGGCGTATCCCGCTCAGTCTATGCGGTCAAGATCCTGATTGCGGGCTGTGTTCGAACACTGATCCAAGAAGATCAAGACTACTACATGTGTGCAAGTCCTTGCCATGCACCAACTTGTCACGAACTCCCATTGCCGCGGTCTGCGTTCTGCATGTCACCACTGGCCCTTTTCCAACGATACAAGACTCGCAAGCGCCAGCAGAAGTCGGGAGACACAAGCGCAAATAGTGGTACGCCGTACTTGGCCTTCATGGACAACTCCAGCCTGATGTTCGTATATGGGTGCAGAATCTACTGTTGTCGATCCCGGTAGATCGAGTCTACCATACGAAGGCTTGCGTGGGACTGACCGAATACCCCCCAGAACCCCCGAGCGACATCAGTCTCTGGCTTACAGAAGATCCCCTCGTCAAAACAGAACGCGGTGCGCCCAGTCCGCTGCAATACCTGATACTATAGGCGACTGAAGGTCTCTAACAGGTCCAACTGATAGTGGTGAGTTACCATCCTCGTTCTCGGGATCATGCCCCACTGACTAGCAATCAGGTACTGAGATCGATACGGCGATGAAACGCTACGCGAATACCGGCTGGGAAGGCTTGAAGTTGATTCTGCGCGTGTTGAAGGAATCGTCCGATGGTTTGACCCCGTTGAAGGCAGCGGTAGGGGGCGCTGTAGCACTCATAGACATCTTTGAAGTGAGCACACAGTCTTGAGCGCAGGCCTCTATCAAATCACTCAAATTATGGGTAGAACACCAAGTCTGCCAGTGTACAGCTCGCGGAAACCGCTCAACGCGTCGACCGCTTGATGCTCATCCTTGCGAACCGTCTCGGCGAAGGCGAGCGGATAGAGACGTCGATCATGATCGGCCACTATGAGATGTACCCACCTCCCCTTGACGTTCGCCCAAGATCAGTTTACAGAGGATACTGTCCCCAGATTGCTCTCTGAGCTGCTGAAGGGTGTCAAAGACAAGTACCACCGAGGCTGGATCAGACGCGTCATTGAAAACGATCAGGACCGGGATACGCTGGCGAGTACTGCTAGTCGTATCGCCGATATGATGCAAGAACTACAGGTAATGGCATTCTTTCACCTGCTACACGCCAATAACGACTGATGAGTGTCATAGCTAAAGATCGGCTTATCATTGGAGAAAGCGACCGGGCAGATACTAGATGTACGTCAATGTTCAATTCGTGACATGTTAAACCTTTATCAGCGACTTCGCTCTAGGAAGTGGTCTTCCAGCACCTGGAGAGGGCCGAGGCTGCCGCATACTCGGCCGCCATCTCGCCCAATGGGGTTTCACGCCGAAGTTGTGCTGTAGGCACACGCGTTGAGATCATCGATGATATCCTGGCTTGGGTGTTCGACGAGAGCGAATCGACTGCACCAGTGTACTGGATGTCGGGTCTTGCTGGCCAGGGCAAGACAACGATCGCGTACACAATCTGCGACCAACTGAAGAGCCGCGCCGATGACGTGTCTGTCGTATCGTTCTTTTGCTCCGCCCAACTTGACAGCACTTGGGAGAAGCTGCTCGTGTCAACGCTGGCGTTCGAACTTGCCGAGTCCTCCTCGTCATATGCTGCACAACTTCTCCTTGTGTTGCAGGCAGAGCGCAACCTCAGCCATCAGAGGCTTGAGTACCAGATGCGCAGATTATTCGTCGAGCCTTGGGCGGGCAGTGCACATCGGCGTAAAGACCTGCGTCCTACTATCATCGTCGTCGACGCTGTGGACGAGAACGAGGCCGGGATTGAGTTCATCGACTTGCTTCTCTCGGCTTTGCACAAAGGTCAACTGCCGGGTCTTCGTATCCTCATCACAAGCCGTCCATCGCCAGAACTCGTTACATTGTTCGGGAGAGCGAACGATGTCCGTCGCCTTAACCTGAATGACTGCAACGCGCGAGCAACTCATCATGACATTCTGACCTACCTGAAGACTGAACTTCCCGAACACGCCGAGCGTCGTGAGCTACAGGACGTAGCCGACGTCGCGGCGGGCCTTTTCATCTACGCAGCAACTGCGCGGCGCATCGTGAGACCGAAAGGCATTCGAAGGACACTCGACGAGGAGGTAGTGAAGTTGCGGCAACTCAGCGCTCGCGCTTCGACTGTGACTTCGCCCGGTCTCCTCGACGATCTGTACAACGGAATCTTAGAGAGACTCTTCGCTGGGCTTGACCTTGAAGAGCAGGCTCAACGACAGCGTGTGATCCTTACCGTGATGTGCCACTCTCGCCCGCTTACTGTCCTGCGATTGAGTGAGCTCGCGGAAGTGAAGGAGGACCTCATACAGCTCGTCATCGACGTGCTTCACCCAGTGCTATACATTGGCGAGCTGAACCTCGTCCTCTGGTATCACACTTCGTTCCGGGACTACATCCTCGTCACGCATGAGAATTTGCTCTGTCCAACGTGGACCCTCGTTTCACGCAATTACTGGGTGATTGCGCAAAGGGACACACCTCTGGCGAAGGAGGTCGAATCGCTCACCACCCTCTTCTTCGGGCTGCACCCATCAGACATTACGGAGTCCAATGTCTCGCAAAGGCTTGTAGATGCTATTGCCCTTCCGTTACAGCCTCGAATGGGCCCGAACCTTGAGGGATATATCGTTCCCAATCCCCCATCAGACTATGCCCATAGTAGCACAAGTCACAAGAAGGCTCGAGTCAAGTCTGCTGGCAGGCGACCCAAATCTCTGCCCGCCAAGGGCAAGGCGCACCAGTCCAATAACGTCGTTGTTGCTTGAGTTGTAGACTTCCGCGCGCGGGCTGTCCTGTATAATACTACACAGTATAAATTTCACAGGCTATTATCATCAGACCATATGTCGTGGTGCGCAAATGTACCACGGGACTGGTATTTCTAAGGTAGATTCGTAGTCAGAACTTCAGCGCAGCGGCACAGATGGCCGTTGGCAGCAAACCCGTTGTCGCGACTTGCGACACACGTGTTTCGGCCGCGAGCAAACTACGGCTGCAAAGACGCGTTTGTCTCGAACGCGCGTGCCGCCTCGACCTCTGTACTCGATGTGCGCTCCTAGAATATACACCACTGCCTATCGCACAGCGCACACCGCCCGACGGACCGCGCATTCCGACGAAGACAAGGCATGATGCGGGGCTGTGCAACTCGGTAGCGCCCGTCGTCAGATCCAGACAACCCGACACTTGTCCACACCCGCCACGATGCCTCTACCGCGCCGCCAAAACTCAGCATCCGCAGACGAGGCCTGGCAGGTCCTCGTACTGCGAGCCACGCAATGGCAGCACCTGCGGCCAGAAAAGGCGTGGCGGCCCATCATCTCGCTCGCTCTTGATGCGCCTTCGTTCTCCGCGTCCAACGCTCATGATCTACTCCTCGGCGCCGACGGCCAAAATCCGAATCTGCGGATACCAGCTGTGCTTCCTCCCGACACGCATAGGCGCTCGACATTAGTCCTGAGCGTACACTATCAAGCATCGGGCAAAAGCACTGGCAAAGGCCGTAAACGCCGACGGTTACTTGGGTCCACGAAACTTCCACTCTGCGATGCGCTGGAAAGGCAGGCCGGCGCGGTAGACCGGTGCTGTGAGGTTAAAGTTGCGCCTGGTCTTGGAGCTGGAGGAAAGAAGAAGGGAAGTGGGAATGGGGTCAGGATGATGAGCGTGTTCTTGAGGGTGCGCCCGCCGATGGAGAGCGCCGGCGAGGGGAGTGAGACGCTTGTTGAGTCGCGCAACGAGTCTCCATGTCAGTGTACTCTGTTATCTTCTCGCAGGACTATATATTCTGACGCAATATATGTAGTCGCGGATAGTACCGACTCGGGCGCCACAGACTCAGATGCAGACTCAGTCGCTGGGCCCAGTGATGTCGAACGTCCACCACTCGACCTATCACCACCTTCAGGCCTACGCCATCGCAAGCGGCGCAAAGTCAAGGGTTTCTTCTCAGACGACGAGTCCTGTTCAGTTTCCTGCTCAGACTCGGACTCCGACGGCCCTTCTCCCCGTACCCCTACATCTACCCGCTCCCGCTCTCGTACACGCTCGCGTTCAGCTTCACGCGTCAAAAATGGATTGCTCGAGCCCGAATTCATCGAAATGGAAGTCTACCCTGATCAGATCTCGCCGTCGCTTCTCCCGCGTGTGAATACTGTCACCTCGACGACATCAGTCCAGTCCCGTCTATCCGTGGCTTCGGTATCGTCAAGGCTCAGCGGGGCGTACGACGCGGTTACTTACTACCGCGAACTACGCGAGGCAAACCACGATGCACTGGTTGAGGCCGTACTAGCTCGGCTTACCAGGGAGTGGCAGTATGTCGGCGCCACATTACTGGCAGTGGCAGCGTATGTCTACACCTTCTGTACGTCCTAGGAACTCATGCTGACGCTCACTTAGACTGGACACGACCGTCTTTGGCTTCAGCTCCGGCACACTCTTCGGGATGGACGGCTTCGCTCTACGAGCGCTCACAGTCTCCGCCATCGCGTCCGCGCTAGGTCTTGCGCTCGATGCAGGCTTACTATTCTTCTACCTCGGCGCGGACGCACAGAAGTTCACGGTATGCAGTCCCTTGCCCTTTGTGCCATACCATCTTCTCACATCAACCACCCCAGGCCCTCGCTCAATCGATGTACCCATCCTACTTCTACTTCGCCCTCACATCCCGCCTCCCACTCTTCTCAGCACTCATCTCCCTCCTCGCCCTAGCCGCATTCCTCCTAGCAGTCGCATTCGCTGCATGGCCCTCAGCTGTGCTGGCAGCATGCGGAGTTTCAGGCATACTCGTCGGCCTGCAATACGTCGTCAAAGCCGGTGAACTTGTCGGGCGGGCTGTGGGGAGCGGTGTGCGGGGTGTGCGCGGGATTGCATTTGTGTATGCCGCGCGGGAAGATGCTGAGGCGCGGTCGCCGTCTAGCACGGGGGCAGAGATGGCTGCTCCGGGTGTTGCGGTGCCTGCGAGGGCGGGTGGGGCGCCGCCTAGGCCGCCGAGGGCGCCTGAGCGGGGGAGGACGGGGCAGAGTGTTGATGTAAGGGAGACGAGGGAGGGTGTGTGGGTCGATTGTCGGCCGGGTTCGGGTGCATGATATCATCCGAGAGGCTCGGATGTTGCTGGGATGTTTGGATGGATTTCATTGGTAGTTTGGAAGACATTGGGGATTATTCGAATGTACTGTACATGGTTTATACTACATTTTCGCACCAAGACGATGCTTCGGAGTCACGCTGCCTGAAAAGATATACTGAGAGGGCTTAAATTTCACTACGCATAAAGGGAGCGTCGATCGGGATCTGCATGCGAGCCTCAGTCTGAGGTGGGCTATGAGATGATGCCAAAGTGTAAACGCACCTCGTCGAGTCGCCTCTCAATCTCAGCGCGAAGGTGTTGCTTCGTCCAGTCCAGTAAGCCATACTCAACCCGCAACCTACAAGATTCACATCCCGCGAGCTGTTGCCGGGCATCCGTATTGACGAGCGGTTGACGGAGAGCATCTTCCAGCGAAGGGCGCGCACGACTTTGTACGAGTCTAACGACGGCTCGGACGTAGGTCCACCACCAGGACGATACCGCCGCGTGGTGACTCTCAGCTGCTGAGTCTCCTCTATACCAAGTGACCTCTGTCAGGCACATATGAGCGTTGCCTTCTTCGAACCCCACGCTTTCTGGCTTGTCTTGCTCTGACCACCAAGCGTAGTTCGGCCGTATCCAAGTGATGGGATGCTCCTCGTCGCGGCCGTCAGTGAGTAGTTCTTCCAGTGCGGAGGGGACTTTGTCGCTGTACTCGAGCAGCCTTTTGAAAGCTGTAGCCGGGACCTCGTCGTAGTCCGGATCATGAGAGGAGCTCTCATGCGGTTCGAGGTAGCGCCGTGCGGCAGCGCGAAGAGCGATGGGGTACTCGTATTTCCACGCCACAACGTACGCGATCTCCGGTTGACTATCTGCGAGAGCCACAAGCGCCTTCTCGGCTGCGTCGCGCATGAATTGGATGTCGTACTTGCGCGCCAGACCTGCCGCGCGTTTGATATCGGCGAGCTCGCTCAGATTCGGTTCGGCGCAGAACGAGCGGGGATAGATGAAGCGCAACAAGGTGCGCAGGGTTTGGCTGTCCTCGGACATTGATACGACAGAGTCGTTTACCGAAGGCTGTGGCAGAGAGAGCATGTCTCTGAATACCGGTGATGCGAGTCGGAGGATGGCTCGGTGGACTGCGAAGTGGATGCCGTCCGAGCAGCGCAGGACCAAGTCTGCGTCAGGGGCATTGAATTGTTCGTCGGCGTTGACGGTGGCTTTTGCAAAGGCTACGAGTAGTGTCATTGTGCACTGGCACGTATATAATGTTGCTATATCGATGTGACAATTCCAGTTGAGCGCTGCTGGTGACTGCAAGAATAGGGTATTGGGTCCAAGCTCAAGCTTGTCTCATGCTTGGCTGCGGCGTTCGCCGATCGGCGATCCCACGCTTAGTCGGCCGAAGTGCGCCCGAGCGCCCTTGCTCTTACAGCCATCGTGCTTGATTAACGATTGCCTGTGCTCGCTGTATGCTCCTCGATAGTGGAAGGTACTCGCAGGAGAAGCCACTCTACACTCCAATCTCGTTGGCCTTCTCATATTCTCGCCGCGGTCATTCAAACGCAGATTCCTATTTACATACAGAATGATACAGTGCTATAGACCTTCGAGTCGTACATCAAGTCGCTCGTGAATGCCAGGACTGGTCATACAACGTCTGTCATGACTCTCATAACTTGCAGTTTTGTCGTGACTACATGAACGGTGCAGCGAGAGGTATCTGACCGCGTTTTGTTAGACTTGGAGAGGGCCGGCACATCGAAACACACTCACTTGCGCAAGACGTCTTTCGATCTCAGCATGCAGACGGGTCTTCGTGAACTCAAGTAAGCCCTGAACATCCCGCAGCTTACATCTAGGGCATTCCCGAGCCTTGGCGCACGCATCCGGAACTGCCCTAGCGACTGCAACTTCGAAGAAGGGCCTGTCCGATCTCATCATAGTATTGACGACGGACTGAACGAACATCCACCACCATTCCCACACGAGGCGTAAAGGGCGTTCTTTGTGGGTCGGGGTCGTATCAGGCTTCTGCTCTCCTTGCGCATCGTAATACAATAGAAGAGTTTCGCATGTACAGTTGGCAGGGATAGAGTAGTAATCGCCCGACCTGAGGAGATCGGGGTCCATCCAGGACATCGGAACGCTCTGGGATCTTGGGCCCAATTTATATTCAGCACGAAGTATACCTTCCAGTGCTTCCGGGACCGAGTTTTGGTATCTCAGTAGCTTGAATACTGACGACGCGGGGATCTCTTCCCACTCCATGGCGTCCGTATCAGCTATGAAAGGCTCAAGGGTACGTCGCGCCGCGGCCCTGAGGACCTTCCCGTATTCGTATCTCCATGCCACCGCGTAAGCAATGTCCGGACGGCCCTCCGCGCATCGCAAGAGTGCCTTCTCTACTGCATCGTGCATGAGCCCAACGTCATATTTCTGCGCGAGCGTTGCAGCACGCTTGATATCCGCGATCGTCAGCAGATCAGGCTCCGGACAGAGTGTTCGAGGGTAGCAGAAGCGCAACATCAGCCGCAGCGACTGGGCGTCTTCTGCCATAGCTATGACCGTCTGACCACCTGCTGTCTTGTCGTCGTGCTCTGATGGCTGAGGTAGAGACAGCATGTCGTGAAAGACGGGCGAAGACATCCGGAGGACGAACATATGCGCGGCAAGATCAACGCCGTCGGACGATCTCAGAATGAGTTCTGCATCTGCTGCGTTGAACTGGGCGTCAAGAGCAGGCCCACTGGATGTCCCTCCGAAAGAGGTTGGTCCAGACATCGTGAAGGGAACTTCACGCGCACAAAGATTGCAAAGTTGGATTGAATAGTGTAGGAAGGAGGGATGGATCCGAGCGACTCGCTCGATGGTGGTGGTGGTCGGTGGCAAGACGATCTACCGCGCGTCCAACTCGTGGAAAGATGCACCGACTACATCATGGCATCCGCCGAGCAAGAAGCTGCGAGGTGCACAAACCACACCTCTATCGGGCCGGCATTGCCGGGAGGTACCTGGATACGACGGGTGTGGCGAACGGCTGCGGAGACAAACGCGTCTGTCTCAGACGTGCCGAGACTAGCCGCAACGATCTCCCCGCGTTGCTTCTTACTCTCAACAGCCATCTGCTCGAGATGGCGGTTGCAGACCCGTTCCGCTGTCGAGCAGAAGTTGTTTGGGCGTCTCGCGACCTTACTTGTCTCGACCCTCCACAGCCCTCCACGACGTGACTGAATAGATGCCCCATAATCCGGACCCGTCTCCCAAAAACTCCACATCTTCAGCTACCGATCGACTGTGGCAAATTCTAGTCATCAGGGCAAACAACTGGCAATATCTACATGCTGAAAGTAGCTGGCGACCTACTATCACCCTAACGCTCGACTCTCTGCCTTCGTCGTCAGGATACAAGCATGACGTCCTCCTCGGCACGGATGGCCAAAACCCCAACCTCCGCCTCTCCGCACTGTTGCCACCAGAGGTCGCTCCGCACTCGACTTTGGTGATTGGTATGCACTACCAACCTTCCGCGAAACGTAAAGGCAAATCCCGCAAACGACGACGTCGATTCGGCGAAGCACGACTCTCGCTCGAGGCGGCGCTAAGACAACAGACGGAAACGGCCGAGGGAGTCTGCGAAGTGAAGATACCGATCGAATTTGCGGAGCAGAAGAGGAAGGGTTCGGCTTTGGCGAAGTTGCCGAGCGTCTTGCTGAGGGTGCGCGCGCCAGAGGGACGTGCGGAGATATATTCCGACGCGGGTGGAACCCTGGTCGATTCCTGTGATGGGGACACTCGTAAGTTCCTGACGCTGTATGTATATCAGAGCGAACTCAGACGAACTCTCGAAATATAGACAGCACTACTTCCGGCACGGTGGTCTCTGATGAAGTCCTCGTATCTTCATCGCGAGAGATATCGCCAGCATCCAATTCACGGCTTCACGGGCACAAGGCTTCCAAGGGATTTCTTCCCTACGACACATCATCAAGCTCAACATCTCATACTGTTGTCGAGGATGATGACGAACCCGAATCCTCGCCATCCACCCTCCCTCGGACCTCTGGTCCGCGCTCGCAATCTACACACGACACTCATCAACCCGAGACAAACACTGTTGAAGGCACATCCCGTTCCGACGGACCATCCATCCTACGCACTCTGAGGACCTTGTATGATGCGGTTACCTACCATCGTGAACTATGCGAGGCCACGAACGACGCGCAGAGGGAGGATCTGCTGAGCAAATTGATACGGGAGTGGCAATGGGTCGGCGGCGCACTGTTGGCAATCGTAGCGTATGTTTTTGCTTCCACACTCATGCGCATATCCATGCTCACGCCTCGTTCCATCGCGTGGCAGTCTTGACACAACCGTCTTCGGCTTCAACTCCGGTACACTCTTCGGTGTAGACGGCTTTGCCCGTCGCGCGCTCACCATCTCCGCCATTTCCTCCGCACTTGGTCTTGCCGTTGACGCCGTTTTACTAGTCTCTTACTTTGGCGCAACTGCCGAACGGCTTCGGGTGCGGCTCATGTACTTTCCTGATTATTTCGCTCTAACATTCTTCGCCAACCGTAGATCTCATCGCGATCGTTACACCATTCGCAGTTCTACTTCGCACTCACGTCTCGTCTACCGCTTGTTGCAACCTTGATATCTATTCTGGCTCTCGCAGCCTTCTTACTTGCAGTTGCCTACACGGCCTGGCCATCCGCAGTACTCGTCATATCCGGTCTGGCTGGTATACTGCTCGGCTTACAGGTGCGATACATATACCGCCGCGGATGCATCATGCTCGCTAACCATGGCATATCAGTACGTTGTGAGAGCAGGTGAACTCCTCGGCCAAACGCTTGCATACGGTGTGCTCGAGATGCGCGATCTCCTACGAACCTCCCGCAACATCACACGGACGGATACCGAGATGCATCCCCCTATGGTGCCGGACATTGACCTTCCGATGTCGGGTGTATCTGTCCATACTGCACCAGATAGAGCAGGCGGCCGTTCAACTCGACCGTCTCGCGCGTCGTCAGATCGTCGAACGTCGAACGGGGGACGTTACCAGAGGCGGCGATGAGACTCGATATATACTCGCATCACATATATACAATATTAATGTGGATTTGTTGAGGGCGGTCCCACTTGCGTTGTGCACCATCGGTTCTGTCGATTCTGGTCGGTCTTCATCGTATCTTACAGTGTACTCCCTCCTGTATATCAATAGTGTTGCGAGCGACATACAGCGACACAAGACGGCTCGTAGCACTCTCGTAGCGATAGCCGGTAACTGTCAAGTGCGGATATCACGGCGTTTGCCGAAGACTGATCGCACGCTTCCGGCTTTCAGTCGCGCGCCCGTCACCTCATGCTTTCTTGTGCGACCACGATCATGCCCAGAGGTCCTTTCGGCCAATTACTACGGGAAGCCCCTTTCGATGGCACACAATATACGTGGATCCAAAACCTGATGACCCAACTCTCGAACTTCCCAAGCAAAGATGCTATCTCCGAGCAGCGCCGGCGTCAACAGTGTATAACCGATACCACGCACCTTCACGACCTGGCGTTCCGCCCCCCACAGCCTTCCCTACCTCGGTATCGCGTCTTACCCAAAACGCGCTGGCGGCGTCTCGTGGACAGGATTTCAATTGCGAAACATCTTGACTCGCTCCTCTTCGCCATGCAGACATCTCGCGAACATCATTGATGCTGTGAACGACGAGGTTACGCCGCATCCAGCTCAGGACCTACTTCGTTCTGAGTCTTTGCGCTATCCTTGCATCGCTGAGGGTCGCTGCGCAGCTCTTTGGGAGGGGTAGCGTTGCCTGCTACGCAGAAGACAGTGCTACGCGTGATGCGCCAACAAAGAGCAAGTGCTGCGCATGCGTCGAGCGCTTCATCTCCTCAATCATGATGAACAATGAGCCTTCGCTGGTATCGGTACATATCTGGATCTATGCGGAGATGTGACGCGCGATACATCTCACCAGCTTGCGCCGTACTTAACTCGCACGAGCCCCCCTCCCGCGCTCGAGCGCCCTCTCATCCGTTCGCTATGCCCACTGTCCTTTAAACTATATACCACGCTCATTTCACATACTGCAGGCGAAACATGGATATAGGAGGGATAATCACTTCAGTCCTTGCTGCAGCTGCGCCGGGTCCATCACGACGGTTACCGTCCTTCCCCCACTCGCAGAAGCCGCCCCCAACCGGTCCCACGAATATTTCCCCAACACCCACGACCTCGAGCACCACATTTTCCATACCTTCAACTGCTACCCATACGTCATCAACGTTACTTACCACTGAGACATCCTCGAACCCGCGCTCGTCACCATCTTCGACGCAAGAGGGTCTAGCAACATCAGGCGAGCTTTGATTGCCACGTTCCAGGACATGGCTACAACAACTGAATAAAATGTGACAGCAGGCAGCAACCCCTCTACCGGCAGCCCTTCCCCCGGCTCCACCGGGCCCTTCTCCAGTGGCGCGCCGAGCGCACCTTCAAGCTCACATGGGCAAGCGAGCGCAAGCACTGGAACTACGCCGTACGTGCAACTCTTGCTGTTCTCTCAGGTCTTTGGGCGTAACCGTGCGCTACAGAGTTTCATCTACAAATACGTACTCCATGCAGGCATCCAGCTTTTCTTCGGTTGTGGTGTCAGGCTCGACAACTTTCACCTTGGTGTTGAGTGCGAGCACGGTTGCCGGGTTCAATAGCACGCAAACTGTGCTCATCACAGTGACAGCTGCCAGTGGGTCGCAGTCATCCTCGCCCGCCCCCTCAGCTTCCTCCCCTTCACGTGGTGCCGGTGGTTCTTCTGAGTCCCTTTCTGAATCGAGCCCGCCGAACAACATCGAAAGCGCCGGATCTTCCGCTACCTCGTCCTCATCTTCTACTCCATTGCCCACATCCGAATCCGCGTAGGTCATACATCTCCCCGTGTATGGAGGGTGTTGACAGTATCACAGACATCGCTCGTCAGAAGCAACCATTCTAGGAGCATCTATCGGCGGGGGTGTATTCATCATAGCAGTAGTTGCTATATCTCTTGTCTATCTTATCAAGCGGCGCAATGCCCGAAGAGGACATCATGGTCGCTCCGCAAGCCGAAACGAATCGTTCTTCGCCGCCGAACGCCCACTTGTATCGCCCTTCCCTACCCTCTCTAGACCTCAGTCGCATGCTACCGCAACGAGTATGGCCGGAACACTCACGGACGAAGAGCGATGGGCAGAATACAGGAACGTCCACCAGTCGCCGCCCCTACTTCCTAATCACGGTCTGGTGTCTCGCGATACTTTGCTCATCGATCATGTCACGGAACCGCTCTCTCCACCAGCGCGGAGGCAGGACATGGGTTATGCTACCTTGTCACGGCACTCCCCTCACAGCGCTAGATTCCCGGATAGTGAGCGCGTGGTTGCTCAAACAGCACCTCAAGACATCTCGTACGTTCCCGAGGATGCAAGCTCAAGCCGCGCCGACAATGCGCCTTCTCACGCTATGTTCTTCTCACCTCCCTCAAGTTTGTCGCCCGCAAGCGCGTCTTTCTCGCAATATATCGTATACGATGGCATTGAGGTCGGCTCTCTCACTGATACCGTGACGACACCGAGTGGCCAGCGAGTCCCCGTAGCCGCCACCAATTCGAATTCTTTCGATGGCTTCCTTCCATCACCATCCATGCCCTCTCCGCGGCGTAGTTTCGCTAGTCTACAGAGCGAAAGCTCAGCAGGGGCTGCCCCCGTGACAGGCGAGGTACATTTCTGTTGTACACCCTGAAGGAATTGATCTGACAATATCCACACCTTCTAGACACAGTTTGGAATGGCTATATGATCTTACTTAATGTCGGCCATGCCAAACAACTTGTATTACTGTAACTATACTGCTTACCGTCAGCTATTGGAATTACTTGCTGTTTAACATTTCACAATTTTTCTTGGATAAGAAAAGAATCACGATATTGTAAACCAAGTGAAAAAGACATATAATAAGTACAATATACATATGTGCAGCCTGGACCGAGAGAATGTTGAGCCACGATCTCAATCCATTTGCTGCATTCAAGCCCGCGGCACTCCGCGCGCACAAAGCGCAGCAAAAAGAGAGGAGATGGGGACGAAAGGAATCCCCCGACGACGCAAGCCTGTAGTGCAGCGGCAAGGTCATCGCGTCCCCGGGTTGCAAGCAGAGCCCAGGGAACAAGGGCGGCAAAAATTAGATAACCAATAATGGGGGCGGTGCCCCCATAATAGTGGTTAAACTATTAAGAACAGATACTACACTTGATCTAAGCCAAAAGGCCAGAGTGGTAAGGTGTTCCGATCGCGAGAGCGGCCAAAGTCGTTCGCCGCCCGCGCGCACGGACCAGCAGGGACCAGCGTGTTAGAGGCGCGTCGCCGCGACGCGCTCTCCCTTGCCTCTTCCCTCAGCGACTTGTATATACGAACCACGTCCCCAAATCTGATCTGCTGTTGTGCCCGAATTCGGTCATGGCAACGACATCGAAACCTTCTCGCTGCCTTCAAGGTCTTCGGATGTCCGAATATAGTACGATACTTGAAATACGCCACCAGGACTCGGTACACACGTCCGACCCAAGACCGTACACACCGAATGGTACATGAACCTCCGGCTCTGCTACTCCCTTCTACACCATTGTTTCCTCTGTCCTGAGCAGCCCCCTGTGACGCTTCTAGTTTATGCACAACCACAACCACAACCACAACCACATATGGCTGGGTTTGGGTCTAGGTCCTTGCATCTGGAACAATACCGCGCATGGACCATGATCAACACCACTGTGTGGTTCGTTACTAGTCATAGCTGCTCTGACTGGTGTTATATAAGAGGCTGCCATTTGCACAGGACACTCAGCTACACTCCTTCACTGCCCCGACAACTACTGGTCTCCCGTCACCAGTCGAGATGATGTCTCAACAAGCATCCGTCGACAGGCTCCCAGCCGATGTTATCTCGATTACTTTTGCGATGGTCGCTGAAGTCGACATTCCTCGTCCGGCTGACAACACTCGTCAACCTCCAGAAGAAAGAGGCGGCGATATTGGATGGATGCGTCTCGGACAGGTCAACCGCAGGTGGCGCGGAATCTATCTGAGCTCTGCGACGCTCTGGGGCGGCATTATCACCGTATTTCCAACGCCAACGATTATGGAGGAGATCATGAGGCGGAGTAAGAGGGCCCCTGTTGTTCTCGACCTGCGGACGATTCGCGACCCTCAAGTCCGTCTTTCCCTCGTTCAGAAATGCCTCGACCGCGCTCGCGTGCTGCGGGAGGAATACGGTGTGGGTTCGCCCATGGAAGACATCTGGGCACGACAGACGCTTGCCGGTCAGCGTCTTGATGTGCTGGAGGACTTGAACTTGGAGTACGCTTTCCCCATGGAGCGCGAGCCAGAAGAGCCTCCTTACGTGCAGCTCTCTTCCATGGCGCCTCTGGACGCTCCGTTCTTGACGCGCGCGGTCTTGACGACGTTCATCCCACTCATGGCACGCCGCCTTCGCACCTTGACTGCTCACAACGTGTGGAAGGCTACGGTCTCGGAGATGGTCGGCTACCTGGGCGCCTTCCCAGCACTCGAAGAGCTAAGGCTCAAGCTGAAGATCGTGGATATACCTATGCATTTCGCCGCCCCGGTTCCCGAAGTACAGCTTCAACAGCTTCGCATCTTTACGAATGAATGCGACGACTTCAGCATCGTACACCTTGTACAACGCATGACGATCCCTGCCACGACCAAACTTGAGTTCTACCTGGGCCAGAAGGACGTCAAGGACGCACAGGACGCACACGACCTGCGAACGCTATGCCAAACTATCTCGACACAGCTCCGCTTGCCCTCGCATAATGAGCTGATCGTGGACTACGATAGCGCAACGCATCTTTGTGTTGTACCTCAAGGCATTGTTCTGGAGGAATACGAAACGATCCCCGTCGAAAAAGGCGTAATCATCGGTGGTGGTTATGAGCTGAGCCACGCAACTGCGCTTGCATGCGTGATGACCGAGGTCGCCCAAACCGTTTCCAGCCTCGTCGTCCGCAATTGCAGGCCCGACGACTTGCCAGTGCCCGTCGCCATCGCCGATCTGCACCCCTTCTTCCTCAGCCTGGTCGCCGTCGAAGAGCTACACGTTCATCACTGCTCACAGCGCGTCTACGGCGCGTTCCTTGAAAGTCCCTTGTTCCCAAGGCTCAAGAAGGTCATTCTCGACTTCAACACTTCGCCATGGGCAGGCAATGACACCCACGATGTTCGCTGGTTCCAGTACCTGTGCGAGATGCTCAGCACACGGCAGGACGCCGGATATCCCGTAGTTGAGGAGATCATTCTCACAGGATCGCATAGTAGAAGCAAGTGCAAGGAGGCAAGCGAGTGCTTCGATCTGGACCATGACGACGTTATGTCTCTGTGCACTTACGCTACCAAAGTGACCGACGAGCGGCCCGCGCGCAGGCCGGACTTGATGGATGATGAGTATGTGGGCTTCAGCAGGGCGGTGCACGAAGTGCTTGTAGCACACCGAGGACTCTGATTGTCTGTTGTGTATTATCTGTACATCATCATTGCTATAAACTAGGGTATGAAGCCACCTTTCATCTCCCCTAATACTTGAGCACTACTGTTGCCTTGCCGCCTGAGAAAGGTATAGTCCAAGCGCCCGCATCCTTCTGAAGACTGCTTGAGGGAGAGAGGAGCGTTACACCGGACACGCTAGCAGTCTGCTTGACTAAAAGACGGCCCTGTGGCGCGCTTGCTGCGTTAGGTGCACTTGCGGCAGCGGCCATGCTAACCGTCACAGTACGCGCAGAAGAATTGTACTCGAGAGACGTGAACACGCCAGCGTCCAGCGAGAGCAGCTGTCCAATCGGTGCGATGAAGATCCTGCGTTGCACAGCGTCTTTCACGGTGACTTTTACCGTCGGCGAAGTGCTGGTAACGATTCCACCGAAAGCCTGCCATCCGAAATTGGGCATGTCGGCGAGGAACATCGTTGTTCCGATGCTTAGGCCCACATAGTTTGGACCCCAGTCCCCACTATAGCCGTCCCATTGAAGCGTATCCTCGAACGAGTGGAAGGAAGCCGCCGCGAAACCATCCTCGCGGATATTACTCGACGGGCCGGAGACGCCGCCAAAGCCGACGCGTAGAAGGTAGGTGTCGTCAGGCGTCATCATGAACTGTTCCAAAAGAGGCAGGGCGTTCAGACCACTCCCGTAGTGGTGTATCTGGCGCTCGATGCGCTGAAGCTGTAAGAGGAGATCAGCCCGAAGAACGTGGGAACAAACATCGGGTCAAAGGTCCGACCTTGCCGCCGTAGATGTTGTCCCAGTAGCGCCGAGCATTGCCGTTGTAACCCCAGTGCGGTACGGTAGGCTGGTATGCGAGGATAGAGTTGAGCGAGTTGAGCGCCGTGTTCGAGTCGTTGAAGTATACGCTCCAGGCGTAGACGCCTTCCTGGCCTGTCGAATCCCAGGCCATCTCGGAACCGAACCTGCCATCAAGAAGAGAAGGCAGTCAGTCGCTGGACTACAAAAGGCAGCAAATTCTACATACGGATAACGCTCCGTCGCCCAAATGGCCTGGCGCGTCTTCATCCGAGACTCGACGAGACTCGCGTTCGCTGTGAGGCCTTCGCGCTGCAGATCATCGAGAATGAAGCGGAAGACGGTCTCGTCCATCCATCCATCATTCTCGTTCGCGCGTCCGCCGGCGGTGACAGACTTGATGGTGCCGACGGCTTGGTTGAGGTACCATTGCCAGTCGTGGGTGGAGACGAGGTCGGGATAGTTGCGCGCTACACGGTACATCGCCCAGTACGCATTTGCTGGTGACATGATGAGCATAACGCGTACGGCCTCGGGAGTACAGCTCTCTTACCGACGTGAACGTAGTCGTAAGAGCGACCAGGATCATACGCAGCCTCCTGGTTCCATGACCACCAGTTACCCCAGTCAATGTCCGAAGGATAGTCGTAGTCGACGATGTCCGGCTGGTAGAAGTACACAGCATGCTTCACCGAGTCTATGTCCGCCATCAGTGATGCGCTCAGCGAATACACCCAGGAGACGCGGCTTACAGTCATAGTTCTGCACCGACCCCCAGAGCGTCTGGTTCACGAACGTCTCGAGCTTCTTCACCTCGGCCGCACTTGGTTGCACGTATTGCTTCATAGTCGCCGCAAGCCACGAACCCGCACCCGCCTCGTCGCTCAAGCCCGGTATCCATGCCCTACCATCCCACGCTCGTCAGCTCCAAATCTTGTGTCCGAAGCTCAATCGTGACACACCTCGGATCGTCCTTGACAATCGCGTTCACCTGCCCATCGTAAGAAATAACCGACGGTGACCTCCCAAACGGATCCTCAGGATCATCGAACCACTGTTCCGTCGTCAAGAAGTTCCCCAAGTCGCTCATGGCCTCCGGCGCTGCCTTCGTCACGTAGTAATGCACCGTCTGTACCGACCCGTCTTCGTACGCCACGTTCAAGCGCGCACGGCCCCATTGGGCACCGGTGATAGTGTATCCGGTCCAGCCTGCGCTTGTGGCGTCGGAGTTGGATGTCCACGTGAGAGCGCCGGTGGGTGTGGATGTGAGGTTCGCGATGGGGGATGAGTGCGAGAGGAAAAGCTTGGCCGGTGCGTCGGCCGGCACGACGTATCCCGGTACACCAACGGCCAGAGGGCGACCTGCGGCTTGCAACGTGCTCTCGATCTCTCTGATTGACGGTGCGAGGTTGAACTGCAGCCCATACGTCCTCGTCTGTCCCGCTTCGAGCGTGAAGGACGTAGGCGCGTTCCATGGATCGGCTGCAGACCATTCGTTCTGAGCGTACGCGAGCGTGTGGAAAGACCATTCGTAGAGTCCTTCGAAGGTCTGGCTTTGATAGCCTAGGGAGGTACCGGTGTTCTCTGGCAGGAAGCGCCAGCCCTCGAGCGGGGAGGTGCCGACGGGGGTAACGACGAGAGGAGGGAGTGTGCCGAGGAGGGGTGTGACTTGAACGTAGCCGGCGTCTTGGCCGATGTATGGATCGAAAAGGCTGCAGCGCTCGTTCGTCTGCGCGGCTGTGCGCCCTGTAAAGATCTATGACACGCGAGTGATTAGGCTGGATGCAAAGAAGGAAGAATGGACAGACTGACGTTGTTGAACTCAAGCGGCGCACCAAGCGCACCAATCTCAACAGCCTTTCCCGCCGCATTCGACACATCGAACAACAACTGCAGCGTCCCGCCGCTCTTCACCCATCGCCTCGTAACATTCAGCAGCTTCGCCGCGTTCGAGGACAATGTCGGCGTGAGACTCGCAGCAGCCAACACGTCCCCGCTCGCGCTCAACGCAGTGACCTTCTTCCTAGCCGCGGACGTATCGCCAGTTGTCCAGGCACTCGAGCCGGAGACGCGCGCACGGAAGTAGAGATCGCCGAGGTGGTAGTTCCCGTTAGCTGCGCGCTGGGACATGACGTCTGAGGGCGCAAAGTCGAAGCCGGAAGAGGTGTTGAGAGAGTAGAGCGTCTGCGAGTCTTTGACGAGGGACGCGGTCAGGTTACCGAGTGAGAAGGTGAGGAAGCCATCGGATAGACCAAGCGTGTCGGTCTGCGCTATAGCAACAGACGGCGCATAGAGGAGCGCCGTCAATGACAGCAAGATGCGCGAGAACATGCTGTGACACTGTTCAGTACACGCTAGAGCGGTGGAGGACAAGAAAGCGGTACCTGTAAGCGCGCGAAAGCGCCACGGACAAAGCTGCTGTTGAGATCCCATACCAAGCCGCATGCCACTCGATATATAGGACTGGGAGAAGCATGGGATCTACGGTGGCGGCCCGCTCGCAATAGACACCCCTCCGTCACGAGCCGCAGAAGCCGGTCGAGGAACGTCACGAACGCGACAAGTTTACAAGGCGGACGTCAGGACGGCGAAAAGAGCATGTGCCAAAGAAGTCGCGGAAGAGGGGAATCTGGGAGTAGAAGGCGGACTCTATATAGATCTTGTCTATCGGAAGACGTGCGTGATCCGAGCGGAGAGATACGAAGCGGTATCCCGAAGTATGCTCGGATGCAGAGTCGTAAGAACCTCTGAGAGCACGCGGATCTCAGGGTAGGAAATGTGACGTATTATTCTCAGACGAGGGTTCATCTTGTCGGGTGTCAGCACATCATCGCTATTCAACACGATAGCTTTGCGTACCTCTCAGTACTCGCATGAATATACGACCTTCTGACACCGTCGCCACCGTGGATATACAACCAAGTAGCCGCCGCTCGTGCACACCCTCCGTTGGTGAAGGTGATTCGATCTGTCCTTCGCTACGGCTCACGTAGTACTGGGGTCGAGGTCGCACAGGCGAGTCGAAAGTTGATCATGTCATCGTATCGCGCGCTTGAGCATATACCATGCTCCATCCCGATATACGGCTTTTTTATTTATACGGCACAAACTTGATAGCATTGGGTACACGATCGTCGAGGTCATGGTGGAAGGAAGTCGAATAACAAAGCTTCCGCAAGCTGAGACATTGGGGTGCTTCTCACGCATATGGGTCGCTGTAGATGCTAGACGGTGTCATTCGTGCAGGTCTTACGCGTGTCGTTTCGTGGTGAACGCGTCTTCTTCACGACGACGTCAACTATGTTTGTGCGCTCGTGTGGCTCGTGTGATCTACTGGAGCTATGTCCTACTGTGATTGCCGCTTGCTAACCTACTTCCGAGCACGAGACACCCGGCGAGCGCAGCGAGCGACGGGGGTTGAGTACGTTGAGTGCTCGGAAGGTGGTTGCAGTTGAGTGACTGCAAGTGTCTATCACCTTTCCTGCATGCCAATTGGAGTAGGTATTGACAGGCCCAACATGTGAGGGTATGCTAATATAGCCTTGCTGGACGGACAGTAGATGTACATACAGTGTTTACGTCGATCCTGGAGTAAGCTACCAGAGATTGCCAGTTGTAACATTCATCCTCCCTGAATCTATAGTCTGTTTGGTTTGTTCGGTAATTAACCGTTCGAATGAGGTGTGCGCCAGAACGGCGCACGGCGGCACCACAATGCATGATGATAAGCGGCCGCGAGACGCCTGCAAGGAGGCAGACGTACAAGTACATGCGAAGCCTTACAGGTACTACGATGGGGCGGAGATGGAAAGTACAACTGAGAAAGATACAAAGTGAAGGGGTGAGCGGGAGGACAAGTACAGGAACGAATCGCGCTAGCAAGAAGAGAGGCAGCGCGTATATGTAGTGTATTGTGTTCAGGCGGTAAGGTGGGCTAGCGAGGACACACTCGTAGGCTGTAGCGTGTAAAGGGAGGTTCGCTAGCCTCCTAGCTAACCTACAACCCCGCCTACGCGCATTCTCCATTGAGGAACAGCTACGGGTCTAGCCGGTTCTCGCGACGGACGTGCCGATTCGGTGTGGGCCGCACTTGCATAAACGTGGGTGCTGAGACACGAATGGCTGATCGCTGACGCCGGCATTCGCGCCCTGCGGGTTGGAAGTTATAGGCGCCGACGGTCGCAAGCTGTTCTTCGTCCCGAGGCGTCGGCAGGAGCGGGGGCGCGCGAGAGCAGCCCGCTGCGCGCCGCGCCGCGTCGCGGCAAGAGGCAAGAAGCATCCGATTACGATTCAGGGGGCTGTTGAGCCTTGGACAGTTGCTCTACACCAAATCAACGTCTCGGTACTGCCCGACGATGGCCACTGTGTAACTTTGAGCCTACGTCAGGGACCGGGTGCTTGCGCCGCTAGGATAGGTACTTGTGCGCAACATAGGGCCCACTTTCGTGTCGAGCCCATAAGGCCATACGCGGCTCCACAGCATTAAATAAGTCCCGTTTACTCAGACATTCCCACGCACCCAGACACCCCCCCAGCTCGAAAAAACCACCAGACAGTGGTTGAACCTGCTCGTCCAATCGTATAAATAGCTCGAACTGTACTTTGTCTCTGTCTCTCACAGATCCAGAAGTGCGAGCGACAGTGCGGGAATATAGCCTGGGATTCCAGTATTTCTCTTTGACGCGTCTTCTTCCGTGGTTACCAACGTCGTCACGCCCCTCCTCGTTAGCAAGACTGCCCGCTCATCGCGATGTGAGTGATCTGCCTGTGTATATGCGCCAGTATGTGGCCAAGGCTAATGCCAGGCCACAGCGATCGAGATCCCTCGTTCTAC